CGATCATTCATTAGGCGATGACCGCGGTGAGCTCTCGAGGTGAGACACGGTGTAATTAAAGAGATTCGTGATAGGTTGTTTACCTAGCTAGAGGAATATTTGGTTTTTTGAAACGACACCTTACGGCAACATAATTATTTGTTGTACTGCTAATGGTGACCATGATGTTGGTGAAAAAGTTCACGCAGTCAACTTTTTCAAAACATAGCTTTTAGAAAATAGAAAAAACTTTACCTATCGTCTTCTTCAAGTGGTTGCAATTTCAACCACAAAGTTGGGAAGATCGTCACAGTGTTTTAAGGCAAACAATACATTTTAAAAGTCAACAAGCTTATCAGGATTTTCACATGAACACGCTTTGAAGACAGCCCAAGCTATTTACTTAGGATGACATAAGAACGTGTGAATTGGGCACAGAAACCAACTTGATGACTTTTAGCGTGTATATGTAATCTAAGATAATGAGTTCGGATTCCATTTGGCGCTTCCGCAGTCGCCATATTGTTTTCTCCCAGAGCTCAGTCGTAACAATTCGGAAACCTGTACATGACAGAACTGATTTAAAAATCCTCGAAATGCTGAAGAGACCCGGAAGGCTCCACACAAATAAGAGTAAGTATAAATCGAGCAATTTATGTAATGGCCGACAATGGAGTTAGGCTAAAGACACACTTGCGATAAATGCCACCGCTTGCAGTGTAACGTTTTGACGCTAAATGAAAAGTAGAGCTTTCTAGACAAATTCATTAATTTATTAAAATATAATATTAAATAAGTACACACCCTAATAAAATTATACTGAATAATTATTTTAAGTTATTAAAGTCTATTAAATAAACAAAAAGGATTCGCACTTTCTCAATGCACACTCTTCCACTTTATAGCAGACTTTCCTCTTTATAATATTAGTATAGAAAAGCTATTAAGTTATTGATAAATCTGCGTCCAAGATACCTATTCTTTACGAGATAAATGAAAATGTAAATCCTGGCAAAGTGTAGCCTAAGCTTAGTGTTGGGCAACATTAGCGGGTGCGCAGGCGCAGCCCGCGGCGTGCGAAAGCGGCGAATAATGGAGACAATGCATGCGTGGTGCGGCTCGGAAGCAGGAAGCCGACCATTTATGTATTTGGTATGCCATTCGTAAAGCTTTGGGAACCTTTGTTGGAAGATTTGGTCCATGTTTGAAAAATAACATCTATTTTGAATCTCTAGATATCTCTCATTTATCTGAAATCTTGTGTTTAGCTTCTGTCTAATCTTATGATTATTGTACTCTTGGTAAGGATATCATTACATCTTCACCACGGCAAATAAGCTCTTGCACAATGTTTCCATGACAAACCGCAGTTTGCTTAGATGGAGCCGCGGGCCATTGTAACTAATTCTGAGCAGCTTTACCTATTACGGTCATGTGCACGATATCAATACATATACATTTATTTGCTTCATAATCTTAGCATACATGTAGTTACGGTGCTTAACCATAAGCAAAATATTATAGAGATGGCGAGATTGTAAGAGAATGTTAAGCTAGGCTTTTTTTTTTTTTTGGACAATTTCACACAGCGCCAGCTAGCCCCAAAGTAAGCAACTTAATGCTTGTGTTATGGGTGCTAGCTTAACGGATATACTACTTATATACTTTTTTTTAAATACATAAATATTATACATAGTCACACCCAGACCCGTCACAGAAATTAAAATTCATCATTTCAATTTCTGCCCGGCCGGGAATCGAACCCGGGACCTCTCGGCATAGTAGTCCGTTCTGAACCACTACACCAAACGGCCGACAACGACGGCTTTTTAGTAGTAGGTACACACTATATCCCTCTCCCTGGTGAAATATGAAATACTTTACAAATTATACCTAAGTTATAAGTATTAAAACTTTACGAATAATAAATACAATAAAAGCTATTTATGTACGTGTGTCTATGCTGGTGTATCTTTGTATGTAACGTGGCCAAACAATGAGATGATATTCCCAAGGGTCCACTAATGCCGTATGTGGCTAATGGGGTATGACATAACCTGCCTCATACAACATTGATCTCTTATCTAAGAAGAAAGCTCCACAGAGACCTCCGGAAATGAGGCGGGTGAACTTTGACACACTACATGAGACGGTTCTGTCATTCCGGGTAACTCACACATCGCGTGACGTTAATTTAAAGTATCCGACCAAAGGAAAATCTGTAGAAGCATACATGAATGAATGAATATTCTGAAATACAATATTCTTATTTCATTAAAACTTAAAAATAACTGATAAAATCTTTTCAGGTCATGCGATCTACAGGTTGTAATTGTATTAGCCCGAGCACTGCTTTTAAATATGAGTAAACTCTTGATTAGGTAATTTTCCTGATTGAGCTTTTAGATGAGATAAGGTTTTTGTTATTTAAGCACTTGGCGCTGGTGTATTAACTATCGTTATTCCTTTTCTGACCCGAGAAACTGCTTTCATTATTTCAATTTCATATTTTGGTAGGACTATTTCTCTGCTATTTTCTTTTGTCCTTCGACCATAGTTAGAGTTAATGATGAATGATTCTAGCAAAGTTTTTGAAAGCGTTTTGACCGGATGATTACGCAATGATAATAATGCTTAGGCTTAAATAACACACGCACATATACGCCAGTGGCGGTTATAAAAGCGATAGTGTTCTAGTTTTTTTGTTTATGTTATCATATTTTATAGTTTTCATTTCGGATTCAGAAGTGTAGAGCGTTTAATTAATTGAATACCTAGCTATGCATATTACGTCATTGCTCAAGTTTCATGGATATTAATTCTTTCAACACGACTATAAACCTGTAAGCAATGTAAGTAACTCATGTTCACAAGTTAGTGTCAGAACTTCGAAAGAAATGCGTTGTTGTTCGGTTCAGTCTTTGGAATCAAACTTATCTTTCTGCCTTTAAGATGATAAAAAGTATGTGAGATAAGTAAGGTGGACCGACTACCTGACAAATGTAACAGGAAGGCGCTGGATGCAGGCCGCTACCAACAGTGCGATGTCGAAGTCATTGGGGGAGGCCTATTTTCAGCAGTGGACGTCCTGTGGCTGAAATGATGATGGTGACGTAAGGCAGATAGTAATTTCATCGCCACGTGTCCAAATAGAAACGGAATAGAATTAAAATCTGTAAGACGGTAATAAGACATTGTCTAAATTCTTTGGCAGGCAGGTTCGGAAACGAGTAAGGCCCAGAACAGACGGTGAAACGCAACTGCAACGAAACTGCAACTGCTAGTTACTTTTGAGTTGCATCTAAGTTTCTGCCATAGCGTCCTTTGAGAGACCACACATGACGCGACCAGTTTGACTCTTTCAATTTCAGTTTTATTCATCAGAAAGTTGCAGTTTCGTTGCAGTTGCGTTTCACCGTCTGTTCTGGGCCTAAGAGGCACAGTAAGAAGTTGCAAACATAATTAGCCTTACTGTTATTGTTAATGTTGAAACATTAGCAGCGTTCCTTGACGTCTCCCAGCGTCGCGCTCCATCGCTCGCCCGCTAACGAGCATGGCGGTGATTTAAGGCGCCGGTAACTTCGCATCACACGTAACAGCACCTAATAATGTTATAATTTATACCCATCGCTGAATGTAGCGAACAGCTACCACTATGAAATATAGATTACATTGCTGAACTAATTTATTATACACTTCGGCAGAGATCCGAAGATTCATTAACGAATCCATTTAATCAAGAGTGCAGGTAGACTGCGTTGTAGCGGTCTGCCGCTCGTTCGTTCGTTCGTTTCAGCCAAATGACGTCCACTGCTGGACAAAGGCTGTGCCGCTTATTTCTCATTTATTAGGCGAAAGAGGTAAACCCTGTTAGAAATTATTTTGTAAAATTTTAGAGTTTATTTATTTATTTGATTTAAGAGTTAAACCATGAGTAAGGTTGAAAAGTATAACGTTACCGGAAGTTCCGTTTGTTTAAGGTTGCTCAATCAGTGAGGCAACAGATTTTATCATTCCCGGAAGCACTTTAAAGGATGGATACTAAATATCGACCGGAAAGGTCGAAAATTAAAACAATGTGCAGAGGATTGGAAATATCAGAATTTAGGACCCTTGCCTACTGGTCACAAACGTTGCTTCACCAGATATTAACTGCACTACATAAACTATAATTGAATGATCNTTGGCCTATTAGGCAGTTCGATTTTTTAAGTTGTTTATTTAATCAATATTGATTTCTATTATTTTCATTAAAACGTCATTAGCAGGTTAGTAACTAATAATAATGTCAGTGGTTAGTAACTAGTAGCAGGTTAGTAACTAATAACAATGTCAACCAACTGGTTGGTTACTTCATTCAATGATTAAACTTTTTATTTTTTTATATTTTCAAAATAAAAATTATTTAAAAATATCCCTAGTATATTCCTAGTTATTATGAGTATTAATTAACATATTATTCTCGTATTGAAAGCGGTTAATAACTTCATAAAATAACATCAAAGACTTGAAAGATCACCTACCGAAAATTCAAAATTTCCAAAGCTTGCTACATGCAAAGCGGCACCCAACGGCACAAGAATTGTATGTCATCTTGATCGCCATGTATGGTGCAATAGCTCATGTGAGTACCAGCCCTTCAGTTCTATTCAGTTAAAAAAAAATCCACTTTAAGTGTTTCTTTCCATACAAAAAAAAATAAAATATTTTTTTTCTCACACATGGAGCTACTCATACCCTTCATACTATATTAGTAAAACAAAGGGAGGTATACTAAACACAATACATATTTTTATTTATTAATTTCTGACATTAAGTTTCTATGGTATGGGAGCTTCATTTTCAGACCACTGTGCGTCGCACAGTTGCGACAGCAATATAATTACGCGCGAGCGATAAGGATAGGTAACTCGGGGTCATTAGACAAAATTCTACGTGCTCGGCGACCAGACTATGTATAGTAAATGATAACGTATTTAAAATAATGATAAATGGCTCAGCAAGGAAGATCGGGAAGTTACCTGTGTCAGTGCTGTTCCGTGAGCTATTGTGCCTTGCGAACAGCTCCCCCGGCTTGAACTCGTCATCCGACGACGAGCCCGCGTCCAACAGCCGCGCCAGCGCCGCGCCGGGGACCGGGCTCGGCGCCGCCACGGTACTGGGGGCCGGGGCAGGCGCGGGCGCAGATGAGTCCTCCGGCTCCGATATGTGCACGAAGCTCAGCCCGTACTGGTGTCAAAGAGATATGAATTGGAAATGAAAGAAAGAAAGATACATTTATTACAATGGACATCACACAAATACAGGCAATTACATAGACATGACAGTGGCACATAATAATGGAAGAAGAAAAAAAAAAAAAAAAAAAACAAGAGTAAACTGAGCAGTGCCACCCATTCACCAACAAGATGCCCACTGCAACAGGACCCCACTCAGCATATGCCGTGGCCCACGGTGACGAAGGCCACGGCGCTGGTTTTCAGTGTAAATGAACAGCTAAAATAATGTCAAGATGTAGTCCGGCACACTGAAGTACTAATATTGAGAAGATTAGGTAGTATGTTAACACTAGCGACCGGTAAACCTACTCATTTGAAGCATCTTGAACTTGCAGATGTTTATCTTAAGCTGTACTTTGACTGCACAGTTTTCACTCACTTTCAACTGTAGTATTAAACTCAAATTTAAAGCAGTTTGCAGTTCTCTAAGCACTTTAATTCCTACGATTTTAGCTTTTACCACAAAGATTTATACATAAGGCAGCTGAATACAACCCACCTTGCAGTGCTTGTTGTAGGGCTGCGAGCACACGAGGCGCACGCGGTCCCAGCGCTGCGCGCGCGCGGCGGCCAGCTGCGAGCCGCTGAAGGAGCGCACGCGCTCCACGCCCGCGTCCTTGCGCGACTCCGCCGGCGATAAAAATACGCAGCTCGGCACCAGCACCTGCTCAAACAATGTGCTATAGATGACCCACGCTGAACTGTCCCACCAAACTCAAAGACAGGGGGGCGCTACCATCGTTCAAATACATGGTTTCGAACATGGCAGAAATCAGAACCAGCGATCCGGTATTGACGGTGGCGCCCCGCTATCAATGTCATGGATAGCACAGTTCAGTATTTTGGAACTACATATATCACAATTATCACAAACTGACAGATGATGCTCAAAAAAAGAGAATACTTATTAATTTTACACGTTGAACGCCACGCTCGCCGGTGAGTCTCAAACAATTAGATTTCTCTTGAGTCTCTGTAGTTGTTTTTTTTGTTTACTATAACAGGCACAATGTTTTTCAACCTTTTTCATGACACGACCCCTGTATGAAAAAATATTTCGTGACCCCCTGACCATTCCCTTTTTAACAGACTTCAACAAAAGGATGAGGTTCTCAATTCGGTTAGTTTTTTTTTCATGCATTTTATAATATTACTAGCTTTCCGCCCGCGGCTTCGCCCGCGTGGAATTTTGTCTGTCACAGAAAAACTTTATCGCGCGCGTCCCTGTTTCAAAAACCGGGATAAAAACTATCCTATGTTCTTTCCCGGGACTCAAACTATCTCTATGCCAAATTTCATCAAAATCGGTTGCGAGGTTTAAGCGGGAAAGCGTGACAGACAGACAGACAGACAGAGTTACTTTCGCATTTATAATATTAGTTGGGATAAAGATGTTGTAGGAACCGAATATTTCAATTCATTACATTTATGCATTTGCATAACTAGATTTCGGATAAATCTAACTTTATAACTTTACTGTTTTTTTTACTGATGTAGTTTTTATGTTCTCTCATGACCCCCCATTGGGTCGCGACCTGCAGGTTGTAAAACACTGATGTAGCATGTTAATTTACAATACAATTTTTCAATGCTGCTGTTTAATGGACATTCAATAGTAAGCACTGACTTGAAAAGGTTCATTTGGTTTCTCCGAGCGCCCCACCAGCACCTCCACCAGGGCAGCGTGATGGGCTCCAATATGTACTGCAGAAATCTGTGGGGTGCAAACATTAATAATTAATTATTATTATTAATTATTAATGTACGCGTTGCTCTCTCCTACGTGATTTAGAATTTTAATTGTTGAAAGATTTTAGGTTGGTAATAATATTTTTAGTATGTTTTGTAAATATGCTAACCTTGACAGCTCGCGGAAGCTGGAGGACGACGGAGCACGACGGCTCCCCTTTCGCGCACAACCAGCGCTTCTTGCTCACGTCCCATGCTAGCAGGTTACTCGCCGGATTATCCTGATTACACCAAGAACAACATTTTATGTAGGAATTTCAAATGCTCACATAATTTTTGTAAGACAATCATTAAATCATTCGTGAACATACCGGATCCTCACTGCTAAAACTAACAATGTAATCAATTTTTACACGAGGCATAATATTATCATTGATTTGGTGGAAAGCAACGTTACGCACTCGATAAATTAAGTAGTTTTTAATAAAATAAATCGCGCCGCGCGCCGGTGTTTTATTTGGCACGAATTTTGACAGGTATATTTGTCACCTGTCAGTCAAAATTTTTATACCTTTTTGCAGGAATAAAGCAAAGGTCAGTACGCATACGCAACACAGCCAAGTCAAGTGTTTATTTCCTTAGTTAAAGTAATGATGAAACTGATATCCAAGATATTCCTCTCTTTTCCTTGAGTTTTGGTAAAGATGTGGTGCTAAAACTGAGATTTCTTGAAAGAATTTGAAAGCTTGTAGCACTGTTTTAATTTGCACCATCAAAAACACCTTAAATTGGTCGTGTAACGAGAGTTGAGACAAAAGCAAAGAGGATTTGTAAGTAATGACCATAAACCTCAGCCCTCTTACCGTGAGGCCATAAAACCGTCATAAAATGAAGTCTTGGCTGTACAGCTTAGTGCCTTTGCCTTTTCCTCTGAAAGGAGAGAATAAAAAAAGTACTTTGACAAGAAGAGTGAAAAAAAAAAACAAATTTGAAGGGATGCTTTGTTGTTACAAATTTTAATAAATAAAAATGTTGAATGTTCAATGTCTAATATCATCAAATTCTTTTAAGATAATTTAATTAAAAAATCTCTGTCATAACGAGGAGAATAATGGATTCAAAAGTGTGTAGAGTTTGCCTTAGCAAATCAACTGCAACTTCAGTGTTCGATGTCCGAGAAGGCCTCCAGCACAGTGTAAAAATTATGCGATGTGTTCCTATCAGCATAGAAGAAGGTGATGGCCTACCAAGTGCTATATGCGATGTTTGCGTGAATGATTTGACCGTCGCATACAACTTCATTTTAAAATGTGAGGCGACGGACAGAGTGCTGCGGCTGGTGGGATACGACGACTACCCAAATCCCGAGGCCGACGCCGAAGACAGAGAGGAGTTCGATATCAGCGGAGAAGAGGTCAACTTCGTATTGGAAAATGAATATAACGGCGGCATAGAATCCGATGATATTGTAAAACAAGAGTACCTAGACGAAAATCAAACTAACTACGAATATGAAAATAAAACAAACCAAGAGAAAAAGGTCCACAACAATGTGAATTTCAAAACTAAAAAGAAAAACAAGCGGTCCAAGTCGGGACCCCTGCAGTGCGTCATCTGCGGCCAGATCACGGCGAGCCGCTCGGCCATGGAGACACACATGCGCACCCATACCGGAGAGATGCCCTACAAATGTCAAGGCTGCAGCAAGAGATTCAGGACCAAAGGCTCGCTCTCCAGACACTTTGAAACCCGCCACGGACAAAGAGAAAGGAAATTCACCTGTGAAACATGCGGAAGCAGCTTTTATAGAAAAAATGACATTATAATTCACATGCGAGTACACACGGACGAAAGACCATACTCCTGTCCATATTGTCCCAAAAGTTTCCGTCAAGTCACGTCTCTGATTCGTCACAAACGCGTTCACACAGGAGAAAAGCCTTACGGGTGTCCTATTTGTGGAAAAAAATTCGCAGACAGCAATCTCGTGAAGAAACATCAATCGGTACACAGCGATGAAAAGAAATATACTTGTCAATTATGTAACAAATCCATGAAAAGTAGAAACGCTCTCAACTCCCATATGCGCCGACACACTAATGAGAAACAGCTGGTATGTAGTTTCTGTGGATCTACATTTTCATTGAAAGGTAATTTGAAAATTCACATAAGGAGAGTGCATTCGGAAAGATCCGGCCAGTGCACCGTCTGCTTGAAGACGTTCTCCGACCTGGAGGTGCACATGCGCAAGCACACGGGCGAGCGGCCCTTCCTGTGCAAGCTGTGCAACCAGAACTACGCCACCAAGAGGAGCTTGTCCCACCACATGGCGTTTAAGCATGATAACGCTACAAAATTCAAATGCTCCATAGGGGAGTGCACTCGCACCTTCCCGACCGCAATGATGCTGGAGTTCCACCTGCTGAAGCAGCACACCAACAGCACGCCCTACGTGTGCCGGCACTGCGCGCGCGGCTTCTACCGCGCCAGCGACCTGTCGCGCCATCTGCGCGTCAGCCACATGGAGCCCCAGGCCAAGGTGCCATTGAAACCTCTTGATGTGGTGCAATAGAATACAACATTGTTCCTGTAATTCAAATATTTATGTCACTTCCCTGAACTGCTAGTCATAGTTTTTAAAATATATTTATGTTACTACCTATAGCTTATTTTATTTAGCAACGTAAATATTGTATTTAAGTTATCATTATCATCTACAGTGCTGAAAATTAATAAATTGATAAGTGCCTACCCACTTCTTCAGTTTAAATAAAAAAAAGTTAACTTAGAATTAAATAGTAGTCTCAAAGGGCTAAAAAAGCATAGCCGATACTGTAACAAACTAATAATGAATTTTATGGCTTCATTACAATCCCGACAGCTTGGGTCGAAACTATCCCTCTTTTCCTGTTGGACGGAAGGGGGAACAACAGACCCTCTGAAACCCAATAGCGCGTAAATCCTCTCGCAAGTTTCAAACGCGCGCCATGATGAGCCGTCGGCAAAACGGTCGCTGGTCGGTAAAGCAGCGCCAGGTGTCGTGAGGTGTTATGCCCCTTTCTCTTTTCAATGTGCAGCGTTATCAGGCTCTCTCGCTCCCGCGCCAATTAGCCGCGCGAGGTGAGTGATACGCGCCGGCCGAGAGGACGTTAGCCCGCGACCGCCCTCCGGAGCGCACGTACGTCGCAATCGGCGCACAACCGTGGCAGGTGTCGGTGCCGTGATGTGCAAACCGTGAAACAGTTCTCCATATGTGCTCGCCTTTAACTTCCTTCCTGCTCGGATAGTCGGATTCGAAATTGGAATTTCACTATGGGTGAAGTGAGTACAGTTTTTGTTTTATTGCGGGTAGGTTTGGAATGCGAGCGTGCTCCAGTTAAGATCGGCCGCTCGTAGTCCTGCGATTGTGATCTGTGGGTTCGTAGGTCATCGGCATGGCTGGCCGCGCTCGCGAGCGGGCGCAGCGGCGCTGGTGCAGTCGCGGGTCGGCGCTCGCGTGCCCCTCGGATCAATTAGCGCTTTCTTCGCGAGAGAATAATGGTGTTCGAGTTTGGGAATGTGTGCCGATACCGAAGCCCAGTAGAAAGCTCGCGAGACGGCCGCATCGGTAAAATCGAGATTAGCGGAGTACTGTTATACATCATCTGATAACGCGCCCAGCGATAGTTTTTATCATCGATATTGTTTTTTTTTTATTTATTGCTATCGAATCAAACGTTCAATAACAAACGTGGCTATAATGTCTTATCTAGAATGGAAATTAACTTCATATCCGTTAATAACATGATATTATCAGGTGATTCTATAAATGATAAATGGGTTATTATTTGGAAAGGATCGAAATAGACGAAATCCTGTAGGTACACACGATAAGAAGGTAGATTCATAATCACCGTGAATCGGTATAAGCGAGTCCGTTGAATATGTCAGGGCACCCATGTCCCATATTGGGCAGCTTGCTCGAAGCCAGGCGGCCCGCGCTGACCGCCGCGCGGTATCTGCATACGTCACTGCGGTGCGTAGGTCACATAGCGTGGCCTGCGGTGACCTCTTTCTTTATGATGAAATGCTACATGCATAGCTACTGCGGATATGGCATAATAGGCACTTTACCTACCCACATACTCTAACGTGACTGCAGATCTGTTGAAAAATGTATGGAATGCAGTTTTCTCACCATGTTCATGCCGTGTGCTAAATTCTATAAAATATGATGTGGAAGCGACGATAATTTATTGTACCTACCTCAACTGTGTAGGTACTATGGATTTATAAAGTTCATGTAGAGTTATTATCTTGGAATGGCATTATACACGTCGATGATAACGTTTCTTTATGAACCAATCAATAAAACTGATATTAAAACAGGTGACTTCATCAACTACAAGGTATCTATCTACCTACTTACATTTATACAACGTGTCCCAAAATTCAACGATAAGCCGGCGCCGCAGGGTGGACATAGTCATGACAACTTTAGGAAAAATAAGAAAAAAAATCTATCTCAATTATTATTTAAGTTACACAATAAATAATGAAATTCGTCGAAAATTGACACCCCTTATGACATTTTACAATACCACGGCCACAATTTTTCAAATACTTCTGTTTTTTTTGTTTGTATCGGCAATTTAAGTAGTGCTGCTGTCCTCTCCAATTCTTAAAACCCTCAGAATCCCTGCAGTTTTTACACAAAAGTTAATCAAAATATGATATTACCTTAAAATTTTGAACGATTTTTAATTTCACTCCACTTTGACTCGCCGTTTTGTAATAAAACAGTATGAACACTACTGCGGCAAGTTTATTATAAAGTTGACGCAACTATCCAAGATTCCAAAATGGTATAATACTCTAAGAAAACTAGTCGCAAAAAAGATATGCGTACCATTTTTACAAGCACTTCGCTTGTTAGTTAGTATGGGATAAATCTTGCAATTAAATTTAAAACCAGTTCTCCTCAACCAATTGAGCTGAAATTTGGTTTACTTATGTAAGTACGATGACAATGCAATATTATGGTATCATTGAGCTGGATTTTTTTTACAAAACGACGAGTCAAAGTGGAGTGAAAGTAAAAATCGTTTAAAATTTTAAGGAAATATCATATTTTGATTAACTTTTGTGTAAAAACTGCAAGGATTCTGGGGGTTTTAAGAATTGGAGTGGACAGCAGCACTACTTAAGTTGCCAATACAAACAAAAAAACAGATGTATTTGAAAAATTGTAGTCGTGGTGATGTAAAATATCATAAGGGGTGTCAATTTTCGACGAATTTCATAATTTATTGTGTAACTTAAAAAATAATTGAGATAGATTTTTTTTCTTATTTTTCCTAAAGTAGTCATGACTATGTCCATCCTGCGGCGCCGGCTTATCCTTGAATTTTGGGACACGTTGTATATTGATAAAAATGTTTTATTTTACATTAAGTAATTTTTATTTTTTACAATAAATTGTTCCAAGTTCCAATTAAGTACAGCAGTTAAACTTTAAATCCTCGTGCTCATCACACTTTGTTCCGACAGGGATTGAACTAAACTTGTAATCGAACCTTATGGAATATAATCGCTCTTGTAAACCACTAGGTCATAAGGTTGATTACTTATATTTCTTTAGTTTCGAAAGATTCACAAAAACAAAGACCAAAGTATTTCTGCGAATTTTTTCTTAAAGCAAATACTATGTTCCGGATAGATGATTCACAGATGGCTGAACAAACACGATATAGTCATACACAAGTGTTGTGAGTAAATAATTTAAATTAATGGTTAACTTTTACGACCTGCAGACTGCAGTGCTATTACCAACACAGTAATCCACTGCAATAAATAAAAGGTTGAAGTTGTAGATTTAAGTACTGAAAATACTTAAAACCTATGAAAACCTTTGGAAAACAAGTAACACGAGTGATTTAAGTATTGTTACTACTAATCTAATCGTAAACTAAAGTAATTTAACTGCCGTTACTTAGGTAAACTTGTGATTATCGGTGAAAAATATCTTTATTGTAGACAAATTATCGTAAATTAGACGTTTTAAGTATTTTTAGATGCCATATTAGCATTCTAATCTAGTCCCTATGTATAAATAAACTTTGCGAAACATTACATTATCCGGCGCTACTAATTAAATTCACTCATACGTGTAAGCTATAAATCTGAAAAACTTGTTCACTTTGAGCTAGATATATCGGCCGCCTAAGGTCAATATTTATAACTATACCTACTCGTTACTCATAATATGTTGGCAACACATGTAACGTATCGTAATCGTAATCCGCTGCCACGAGCACAGCCATGCCGACTCAAGCGCAAGTTAATGCATTGTCTGCAGTTTATATTTTTTTGATTATGCCATAATATTTACTCGTATACATTAAATTGCCCTAACAAGGAGGTAATCCTTATAATCTATAATATAAAAATGAATCGCAAAATGTGTTGGTAAGCGCATAACTCAACAACGCCTGGACCAATTTTACCAATTCTTTTTTTAAAATGTTTGTTGAAGTCCAAGGATGGTTTTTACAGCGAGAAAAGTTTGAATAATTTCCGGGTAAACCCTAAAAAACTCGAAACTTCACCCGTAAGGGTAAAACGGGGTCCACGCGTACGAAGTCGCGGGCGGCCGCTAGTATGATCATGAAATCAATTAAAATACCTTAACTAATATTAGTTTTTCTTCTGTTTCAGTCGCTGTTAAAAGAGGATCCCCTCTCCAGGATCCAAAGAGAGATCATAGAAGTGACAGAGAGAGAACGAGAGTTCAAAGAGGGTCATTTTAGAATAAACCGTCTTATGTCGGAGTCTACCATCGACGTCAACAAACAGAACGGTCACGTCAACGGAGACGATGACCACAAGCCGCAGAAAACCCTCAACAGGGCGGTGTCCACGTCGCACCTCATGGGGCCCGTGACGCCCTCGCCGCCGCCGGCCGCCTCCGTCCTCAACACCAATGGCTACACGCGCCGCTTCACGCCGCAGACGGGGACCAAGGGAATCATGCAACGGTTCATTGCGAACAAAGGCAAACTACCCGCCACCTCTCCTGTCGGCGGCCCAGTACCCATGGCCTCGTCCCCGGTCGTGCCTCTAGCCCCGCCTCTGACGTTCCCGACATCGCCCGTCATCGCCCCGGCCATCGTCAGTCCCGCCGTGATCACCCGCACGCCGGAAGGCAAACCTGTCCGAAAGGGTTACGTGCCCGTTGAGGAAAAAATACAAAAGGAACTCAGAGACATGAAAGACAGAGAGCATGAACTGAAACGCATGAGAAAGAAACAAAAGCCGTTCGACATCGAGTTGAGCGACAATGAAACCAGCTCCGAGTCCGAGGATGAGGAAATTCCGCTGCCTGGAAAACTGAAGGCGACCAAATCTATCGGAGAATTATACGAGGCCCTGAATGACGAGCTCCGGTCGCCGTCGCCGCGGAACAGCTCGGGCCACGAGTCCATCGGCAGCCTGAAGCCGGCCAAGTCGCTGGCGGAGCTGTGCGAGCTCAGCCCCGGCCAGGAGTTCCTCGCGCCCAGCTCCACGCGGCTCATCGCGCAGTGGGAGTCCATCATACAACAGAAACAGGAAGCCGGCGCCGCTTAAATTGTAACAGTTTGAGAAGACGTGATGGTTCAATATGTGTGGGCGTGTAACGCCAAAAAACTCAGTACGTGTAACGTCGCGTGATCGATTGTAGCGGGGTTTAATGTGTGTCAGCGGATTCGGATATGTTACGCGAGAACTCGATACCTGTGGCCGGCGGACTGAGACGCGTCGCGGGGCGCTCGCGTCTCGCGACGTTTTACTTTCGAAGAAAACATGAGTGGCACCTATCCACATGAAAGTGTATCATTTCGGTATTTCAAGTGCCCGAACAAGTTAAGTTCGGCCGATCGATTTCTTTCGCCGATCGATTGTGGGGCAATTAATTTTCTCCAGATTGCGAACAATGCAAATGATGGTTATCCGTAACAGCAATTATCTCGTGCATGCGCGCCGTTGGAAAGCGGCCGATACTCGATGCGAACTCGTCTCCCAAGTGTGAGTAAAATAGTTTCTTCCTATTGTTTAGCGTCACTCCTCTGCGCTGAAAAACTTAATGTGTTTTTTGCGGTGGCGCCGCTTTCCCGGCGCGTACGGCACCGCGCGCCCGCGCCGCTGCACGCTGGGAACGCGCCACCTCCGAGTACAAACGCGAGCTCGCGGCGTCATCTCAAGTGCACCGTTTCCTAATTCGCCACGGATCGTTATTGTTTGCTGTTTCGCCGAGCGTGTTATTAAAAGCTTGTTAAACGGGCAACGTTCGCTATGAGTAAATTTTTGATAAACTTCATCGCGTTCAGGCGCACTTACGTCTCTATCGACGACTGAACGTTGCGAGGCGATGCTAATTATATCCCACATGTTTAAACTTTATCTGCTGCATTTATTTCCCCCGTGGTCGTAGATGTAATAATATTATTTTTTTATATGTTTACAAATGTAATTTTGAGGATTGTCGAAGGAAAGACGCGTGAGTTCGAACTTTCGGGACTAAAATCGGAGCTGGACTTCGAGTAGTTCAATATTACAATTTGTACTTAATTAGTTTTTAATGTTCATAAATGGAAGAGTGTATGTAGTTGCGAAATAATTAGATGAAAATCGTCACTGAAATGTAGAAGTGTCAAATAGTTGTGCCTTAAGTGCCCGAAGGGTGCGGCCGCGGTCTGCAGGCGCGGCGGGATGAGAAGCTATGACAATTTTATAGTTAACTTATAGTGCCTAACAAAATAAAATATGTCACTATTTCTGTGTATAAATATTTATTACACATTCTATTTACTATTTTCTTTAGCATAATAATAAATTAGTCAATTATCTGTTAAATGTCGTTTAGAGCAAACTATACATAATAATTTGAGATTGATAGCGTTAATTGTTGCAATATTTTTTACTTGTAGGTATTAAGTTTGTTTCTTTGTAAAAAGTGCCAGGTGGATTATCTATACACATAACTTATTCTGAAATGCCTTGTGAATGTGATGAACTGAATACAATTCCTATACAAATCGTTTCTATTCTGCTTAGGAGCTCTGTCAAAATAATATTGTGATATGAAAATTGCCTTAAAATATTTGTTAGAGTTGAAATATTGTAAATTAGATGGCTATTTATTCAGAATGTTTACTCGCGCTCTGCTCGCGAGGTGTTAATTATAATAAGGTTTTCGCAATAAATACTTTGTCAAACGAAACGCTTTGGTTGTTATTGACTCACCCACGCAGTATGCTGAATTTCACCTTTGGTCTTTGTTAGTTCGTTGACATTTTTAAAGGTTTAGCGTGTTTGGGGAAAATGCTAGGGATATCAACCTACACTTTTCTTGGACTTGTACGTTTTGCCTTACAATAAATAGCTCGTATGGTCTATTATTTGTAAAGGTTAAAGTGCTTACACATGATTAATGAGTTAATAAAATTATTTCCTATAGGCACAAAGAAATGAAAGAATCTGCTATTTTCTTGTAGGTACCCCGCAGCATCTTGCAGCAGTACCTAAATTAATTTCAAACAAAACATAATACACGTAAATTACACATTTTATTGCCGACGGAAACATTTCGCCTGACGAACTGATTGTTTAACCGCAGAATATATAGCTTTAATAAGTTTCGATATTTATTATCCTACGCCCCGAACTAATTCTACCGGCTTTAAGTCCTATTTATTTTACAGCAAAAGTTTATATTCCCACAAATAACTAAAATAGTGTATAAGGTAATTTTAGAGATAGAATATACTGTGCCAATTTCAAATTACTTTCAAAATATTCAAGTCCCAAGATGTATTTCAAGGATTTGCGTTCGGTAAAGCCACTTGATCTTCGACCTCCTCGAAAATTCGTAATAATCGACAATAGATAATTGTTATTCACAACTTTGAAGTAAACAATCGCATTGCATCAGCGGCCAATATTCATAACTGCTCTTGTTGTGGTCCGTCAATGGTTTCGCAACCATTGTCTGGAAATAGATAGCAGTTTTGTTTTCAATAAAATAATTCATGATAATGGAAACAATGGTATTCGGCACTGAGAACTATATTCTAGTTCCTTTAATGACCATTGCAATATTGCATAGATCACTGGGCGTAGTTTACTCGCAGTAAGTTGCTGTTATGATCCGAATAATATTTGCAACTGGGAGCGGTTGAAGGACAGTATTGTTTGAATTTATTCATAATAACAGACAGTGAAATCGAAGAATTATTATATACTATTTACTGAGGGAGCAGTAAAAATACATATTATTATTATTAGTAATAAACTTAGCAGGTATTATCAGAAGTTGCTATTAGAAACTACTAATAATCTCAATTTAAAAATTATAACTGGCTGATTTAAAGCCTCGCTTATTTATGTTCGTGTCCAAAATTACGTTGATCTAGTTAACTTTTTATGACCTGCATTCTTCTGCACCCACGGCAGATGGAAAGAGAAACTATCCCAATAATGGGCGGCATTAGCCGGGTATCTGCGCACTAGCGCGTTGTTTCGCAAGGCGCCCACGCCGCGGACCGGTCGCATAGCTGGACCACTCTGGAACTATGTCCTAGCTGGATTGCTGGTGCTATTTTTATTGCGATTTCTGTAGCACGTTATGCTCTCTTTGTTCTTCGGTGTTATTTTAATTATACCTTGATTAAATACATGTATTAATTAGGATGTTCGTCCACCATTGCAAGTTAGTTACACGATCTTTGAGACCCTAATAGGAGGTCATAGCAATGACAGCGTCACCCTTTGGTAGTCGTAAACAACCCATGGGGGTAGGCATACCTAAAGACCATAATGACACAAGTTATTTTAAGTAAGTACCTAATAACCTTGTACGCCCGAGTGTAGCGGATTACATAATCAAGAGTTTAGGAAAAGATGCGGGCTCAAGTCTCGACTTGGGCGAGTTGTTTTATTGTATTGTATTATGTAACAAACATCTCAAACCGGTAGTCGCGTATAGCTGAAGTGATATATCCTCGTCCTGCGCGTTCAGGCAACAATGGCTGCGCGGGCGCCGGCGCTGAATGTCAAGAGCGCGCACCCGGTCACCTTGGCGCCGCGCCGCTGCCTATACAACTTACTGAGAAATGGTCTACTTTCTTGAGATGTTTTATTTATTTATTTATAATCTGCTTGAAGTCTCACAGAAAGTTATTGTTATATGTTATTTTATTTATCTATGCTACAATAGGCGATTTATTAAATACACAATAACGACCGTTAAGATGGCAACGGGTCACTGGGGTTAGTCATTCTAGACTCTATTACTAGAGTTTCAACATTGTTTTTTTATTTAGATATTGTCGGCAAATAGCCCCGGATAAATAAGTAAATAAACTGTGACGTTGTACATTACTCAAGATCTTTTTGTAGCCTACGAGTGATTTACTAAAATGGCGGCTGCATTACGTTCACTTAAGCGACGAAGCCTTTCTCAACGCATCCAAAACAAAATGAAACACGTCTAATTGCAGACGCCGCAATTGGCCAGTCAGCTCAGACAAAAGTCTAGAATATTTCGACACAACGCGCACAGAACTGTTGACGCGTTGCGACACGCGGCGTGTGCGCGGGTCAGCGCTGACAGCTGAGCTTGTATCATTTTTTTTTATCCTTTTATCCACAACGAGGAAGCTCTTGGCCTGTGTCTCACCTCATGATAAGTGATGATCAGGCCGAAGGTGGAAGCGAGCTTCACCCGGAATCCTTAACCACGGAGGAACTGGCTATCTTACCTCTAACTGCCGTAACACAACAATGCTGTTAACATTGTTGTTATGGCGACAGACTTAGGTAAGATGGTGGTAGCTAGCCAGGCGGACTTAGAACAAGCCCTACCACCAACCAAATCGAACAAACCTGGGAACCCGGGACCTCTGCGTCTGAAGCAGGTGGTCTTACCACTAGACCACAGAGGCGGTTAAAATTATCTGCTGCTGCTGTCATTCTGCTGCATCAAGCCCTTGAGTGTACTGCATCAACTAGCATTTTTAAGCATAGTACCTATGTCAAGGGCGTCTCAGACAGTGGTAAAAATATCATGGGCTGGCAGCATTCGGAACGCATCGGAGTGTCGCTGTCTTGCGCAGCGCTTTCATCACTGCAGCCAATCTGCCGGCGGCCGCCAACGGCTGCAACGAAGTAGAAGTAGGGCCGCCAAACGGCTGTTGCCTTTATAAAATGTTGCATAACCCTACATTTTCAGATTTTGTGACAGTTCGACCTAGACGTGATTTGGTGATGAATGAATTTTTGAACATCACAAGATCGTGAAAAAAAATTACTAGAACTTTATTAAAAGTTATTACGACCGATTGTCAATTTAAGTTGTAAATAATTTACATAATTTTTGCATTACCACAAGTGGCACATAGAAAAGACATCAACGAGATCGTCACAGGAACGATTTTTAGGGTCATAAAAGTTTTTTTTTAACGTTTTTGTTTATTTGCCAAACGCATTAGGACTATAAGTGATAAAACTAACCGCATAATGGTGATGGATTACTTTTACTATGGGATTATTTATTTATTTATTTNTCAATTTTTTACGTATTTATTCAAAATTTTGAAAAGGCGGCGACCTAGATCAAGGATTGGGCTACCCTACACAAGTTCCTTTGATGTATTTAAGTCACTAATCGCAGAGCACTCGTGATTTAAAAATATGACAATTTTAAGGATTCTGTGCAGGACCCCCTTAAGATGTTTTAAAAATAGTTTCAAAAAATATAAATGGGTGATGAATAAAGCACATTGCGAGTATTAAACAATTTTGGAATAAAATATTAACAAATATTTCATGTGAAATGTGGCGCGGACTAAGAGTTGACATATTTTTGTGGAATGACCCATATCATGAATTATTATAATTGTAACACTACTTATCATGTTAGAAGGTATGGTTTGATACTTTGTGTAGACTGTATGTATACTTACTGAGGTAACTTACCTACCTATCTATTTTTATTTATAAATGCAGACTTAAACCTAAAATAAGTACGTGTGTCAATTTTGATATTTGAAAAAATGATGCATTGAAATATTTTTAGGAAAATATTCCAAAACTGACTGATGACGGTGAATAACGCAATCAATTCAGACGCATAAAAAAACACAACAGTCTGTAACACAGTTTTTGTGGTGGATAGGACAAAACTTGCGGTCGTGTTTTGTTCCGCGAAATGGTTGATCTCGGTGCCTCAATTCCTCTCCTACTATTGTCCTCCTCGCGCTTTGTCTCCAAAACTTCTGTTTTCCACCATAAATACTTACAAATGAATTTTCACTAGGCCTACCTAACTGCTATATCGTTTCAATTTCATAATTACGAGTACCTACATAATCCTTTATACTTACTTATATGTTCTGTGAGAATTTAGTTTCTTGGACTCCAAACAATAAATAAGTAAGTAGTTCTTTAATCTTGATTGTTATTTCTAATTAGATATCAATTTTATAATTATATTAGCTGTGATTTTATAGTTTGCAGATTTGCAGTAAATATGTACTTAGGTAGGTAAGTAGGTAGTTAGCAGTAAATTGTATTCATGAACGGTTGATTGTCAGCTCTATTGTGAGTTGTAGGCTATTAGGCTGTAGGCTGGAAGGTACATAGCATGATTATGAATAACTTGCAAATACTTAGTCGTGATGGGTCGTTATAGCAATATTTGTTGATGTCCAACAACCAACAACAAGATCGTCCTTGTTATGGAAATATAATTTGTATAAATAAATGGATAAACTGCGCAGGTCCGGCATAAATATTGTTTGTGGACTTTTTTCCTCTTTGGGATGTCCCACGCGGGCATCCCTCTGAGAAACGGCCTTCGTCGTTGAACGTAATTTCTGTTGGGGGTCATCAGGAAGATATAATGCTATTTCTGTACTCTTGATGTCATTTTAAGTGCGGGCCCACTTAACCCTAGCACAGGGCGGGGCGTTCAGGCATTGGAGTTAACCCTCCAACCATTCCATTGCGCCTATCGCAAAATCTTAAATGTAGCCACTATGGTTTTTTGTTCGTAATATTTAATGACTATATGAGCATATTTCAGTTTATTTTTTTCAATCTATCTTCTTCAGTTTTTAAAAAACAATGGAAGAACTGCATAAATAACTAGCATAGGTATCTACTACGAGTACATAGGATAGGACTTCGTTAAAATAAAGTTTTATTTGATTATTATTTCTACAAAAGAAATCACAAAAATCTGGAATACATCCAGCGTAAAACAAACCAAACAATGAGGCAATTTGTAAGTGTGCAGAAATAGTATTACTCTTAAAACTTATGATCTTTCCAAGTCTTTAGTAAACTGTATAACTTTTTTCAGAATCAATACAGGAACAGGAACAGAACTTATGGAAAAGTTCAGTTCAGACACCCTGTATGAACCTAAATTGGGTTAGCGCCATCTGCACAATTATAGACGAAGTCAATGTTACTTCAATGTTTGATGCTTTCCACTTGTTGAAAAAGTTGAAAGCTCGATATGCACTAGTAAAAATTACGAAAAAAATTATACAGTTAAAAAAAGTAAATAAGTTTAATTTATGTAGCCGGTCAATCAATGGCGCTAGTGTAGCCGTAGATGGTTATCGTTCTCACAGTCATCTAGTCATGGTCATGGTCATGTCATGGGTGATGCGGGCTGCATCGTATTAGAATCGTATCGTATTTTCATCGAACTCTTCAGAAATAAATCAATAAGTTCGAATAAACCAATTTTCAACGCGATTTATAATGATAATAATATCAATCTAATAATAATCAACGCAAATTAATTAAAATCCTTTTTAATGTTTCAAAATTAAATAAAACAAAGCCAGAACCGGAAACAGTAAATAATGTTGCCAGATTTTACGCACGCGTCGGTTTTGATTTGACAGTTCGCCGCGTCCTAACAGCTGTTTTCCAGTTGCCCCTCGAAATACGATTTTAAATCAGCTAGTTGCACGTGCTTACTTATTAGAAAGGTTTTACATTGTTTTTAGTATATATTTCAACAATGGAAGAAGATATTGGTGTTAAAGGTTTGTGTTTACAGTTTTTTACTTTATTCGATAATAATGAAACGCGTGGGGCTTTGATAACGTGTTATCAATCCGCTGTTTTAACCAACCATGCTTTCAGAGACCATGGAAATGCCTTTTAAATCGTCCCTAAATCTATATAAAGTGAAATAGTTATGAATTATTGTATTCTTTGAGCACGCGGTCCGATTATGTTGTATGACGTCGTATAAAAATCAAAGCGTCACCTTCAGCATTTCGTCTAATTTAACTGCGACTTGCAGCCTTTTTCCTGAATTGTTTTGCTCAAGTTTGCTGATATTAATAGTATAGATATCGATAAAACAATAAGTGGACATGACTAACGAAATCATGGCATAAAATTTGTTCAGTTGTACAATTTTATCTCTAGAATTTATACTTCAAATCCAAGGGCTATTAGTTTAAAGAATTGATTTCTTTTTATAGAACATCACAGACCTAGTTCAATTATTTATTATGACAAACTTAGCAATTTATGGAATTAAATCTATTGTTACATTTATGAATTTGTATAAAACTTTTGCTGTTAATTACCTAATTCAAATTCAAATTTTTTATTGCATATTAAAAGGCTAATTAAATAATTTGTTCTAGAAGTTTGTATCAATAAATTGCTTGAAAAAATATATGTGTATCATCAACTAACAATCATGTCTACTGATACCCACCCTCTCAGAACTTTCAGTTAATTTCAATTTACTTTTAAAATCCCATTGAGCAACATTGAGCAATTTTAGTATCATAGAGGAAGTAACTTGTTACCTATAATAATATTCAAAAGTGAGTCAATGCCCTATTATCAGTCTATAATTTTATTTCAAAGTATGATAAATGTGTTAAACAATTTATTATTAAAAAAACCAGATAAATTAAAGGTGAAGTAAACATAAAACCAAATTACCTAATTTGGTTTGATGTTCATAAAAACTATGAATAGAAGATTTTCTATAACTTCATATTCATGTAATGTATATGTTACGGCTAAAGATAGTTGTGAACATAAACTTAAGATTAGCCGGCTAAACTTAAGTTTATTTTCGAGAAGCAGCTAATGTTCGATAACAGTTAGTTTGTGTCGTGATATTCCTTCTTTAGCCGGCTAATGTGCACATTAGCCAAAACGAAACGGCTAAAAATGTTTTCAACTAGGGGCCGCCCGCGACTTCGTACGCGTGGATCCCGTTTTACCCCCTTCATCTATCTTATTTATTTATTTATTTATTTATTTAATTAGGACAACCAACAAGACAGACACAAATTCAAGCAAAGGGGTTTACATACATAATTTTGTCTTAGGACTAGGTGCTATCTTAATTACAGGCTGCCACGGCATGCAAAAGTGGACTTTGACAGAATGTGAAACTTAAACGTACAGCTGATTTTGACACAATATTCGATTTATTTCTATTCAGAGCAATTTTAAACCTCATATTTAACTGGCAGATCTTGGCTAAACGGACACATGTGCAAATGAGAGTTGTATTTTTTTCTTAAATTTCCCCAGCGAGTCAGAAAAGATATCTATATCTCCCTCCTTACTGCACCTATTATATTGCCTCTGAAGCCTATTCATGGTGGCATGGTGACCCAGGTTGCTCCTGGAACCCTNTAAGGAGGTGACATTGAAGGCAAAAAATCGATTAAGATTTTTCACGTGTTCAATAAAAATCGTTGAAGGATTTTTTTTCTACAAATAATAAATTTAGGTGCCATTAATTGTGGTTGGGGTTAAGTTTTCATTTCATGATTGACTAATGAAGGTCGAGTCGTCTGAGGTCAAAGTGTCGTAATTACAGTGCCNATGATTGACTAATGAAGGTCGAGGTGCCGTAATTACAATCCAGTTGGTCAGTACAGTAGTCTTGCCGATTGTCTATCAATAGCCTATCGAAAGGCCACCCAATCACTCATATTATCGTTAATAAAATATCATATTTTCTAAGAAAAATAACAGCGTTTATCGCAAATTTAGCTAAAACATTTCCAAAAGCATGGCAGATTACGGTTTTCTTAATTTACCAAATAAAACTGTGTTGTTTTTTTTTCAATGTCTTCTATCAATGCAATGGTATCGTTAAACTAATTTAGACCCATCGATAGTATGAGCGATTTCAGGTAGGTAGGCTCTATCAANTTTCCAAAAGCATGGCAGATTACGGTTTTCTTAATTTACCAAATAAAACTGTCTTGTTTTTTTTTTCAATGTCTTCTATCAATGCAATGGTATCGTTAAACTAATTTAGACCCATCGATAGTATGAGCGATTTCAGGTAGGTAGGATCTATCAATTAATCGATAATTGATTTTAAGACATTCCTATTGATTACTCAGATGGTTTTCAAACAATTTGATATTTTAATCGAATTTATGTAATATCAATATCGATTACCGATTTTATGGAAAAAATAATGACCCCGCACTAGTTGCACCGCGCATGCGCCATGCGGCCATGTTTATTTGTTTACATTATTTTGTCAGTAAATAATTTGCGTTCGTTGCGATGTTTTGTTGTTGACGTTCTGGATAATTAGATATTCAAATAGCTAAGTAATACAGTGAAATTATGGTGATGTGTGTTGAGTGGTGTTGGTGCAATAGGACTTTGTGTAGTAAATAATTTGCGTTCGTTGCGATGTTTTGTTGTTGACGTTCTGGATAATTAGATATTCAAATAGCTAAGTAATACAGTGAAATTATGGTAATGTGTGTTGAGTGGTGTTGGTGCAATAGGATTTTGTGTCTTCTTTAGTGTGATGAACGATTTATGCCCGGGAGACCTTCCGTTCCACGATGCCTTGTATCTTAATGTTTTCGCGGGTGGGTGAATCGACACCACCATACCACCGAAGGGAGACCCGGAGATCCCGTTCTTGAAAATAGGATTTCACTACAAGAACCTACCAGGTCACTTGAAAGCGTGGGAAGGTGAATAAGTGAGTGGATGGATGTGATAGATGTGTTGCGATTCGTTTTGTGAATTAGAGTGAAGTGTTACCCCCTGATTACCTTGGAATGCTTGCAGAGTCAATAAAAAGAGGTAAGTGAAGAATTGGTTCAAAACAAAAGTAATAATAAAAGTGGGCGGTGCCGACTCGCGTCAAAATTTGTGAATGAAATACCGTTTGACCACGTTTGACCTAGGAGGGAGTTGCGCGATCGTAGGGCTGTCCAAAAATTAAAATAATAATAATTTATTTAGTNGAAGCCAGATTGCTGAGGTGAAATCAAGTGTTTTATGTGGCACGATAAATAAGGGCAGACTAAGGACTCGAATACCTTGCTAAAAACTGACAGTATAGAGATGGGTCGGTAGTTTTTCACAGAAGCAGCGTCACCGGACTTGAAAATCGGAATGATTCTTGCTTCCTTCCAGATAGAGGGAAATACTCCCGTGGACAGAGAAGCGTTAAATATGATGGTCAACGGCAAAGACAAACAGTCGTAGCATTGGGCCGCAAACAAAGAAGGAATGCCGTCGGGACCTGCACCTTTAGTTCTATCTAAATATTTCAAATTATATTTAACTTCCCTTTGGCTCAAAGATAGNCTCATATACCCATTTACCTAACACCCTGTATACTAATGTTCGCTCTATTAAACACCATACATTGTACATCGTTTCGTAGATAATAAATTGCAATTATAGATAGTGCGTTAATATGGATATGATTTATAATGCCGACTAAGTTTGTTGATCTTCGAATGTTTAAATTTCGTTTGATAATGGTTCAATTAGTGATAAAAGGCTAAAGCGCTAATTGTCTTTATCAATTTAAACGTTGATACCTAACCTACTATGCTATCTAATTTGGGAGTTCACTTTCGATTTTTTTACAACTATAAATAGAGACAGTACCGACATTTACGTATATGTAATTGATATTTACACGATAACAAGCACTAAACTTGCACTTGAGTTCGAATAAATTAAGCTTGAATAAAACTTAAAAAGAAAGAAAAAGAAACAAAGAAAGGTATTTATTTGAAAGAGTTTGATAAACCGCAATAGTTCTGTAAATTGATAGTCCAGCTTATAGCATTATATTGAAATCTCGAATAGATTTCGAGGTCAATCTATAGACAAGCAAAATAAGTTCTGCAAAACTAAAGTATATAAATAACATAAATTAGGAACTTGTATGCAAGATAAAATAATGTTTTTAAAAAAAGGTTGGTATTATTTCGCCAACGTCCTGTTAAAAGGAAATAAATAAGTATAAGAAGCAAAATGATATTCAAAATCACGTAGTCAAAATACGATATTAAAGTGTGACGCAATTAAAACAATACTAAATAGTTGGCGGCGCGTGTTGTTACAGTACGATACGGTAATTTGAATGAGTGAATAGCCATATTATACATGTTTTATCTTCATAAATCTAGCGTTCCACATGTTTCAAACGAAGGAATAATGAGTTTTTGTATCAATTTATTTTATGTTTTAGTGGTTTTAGTGCGACTATGCAATGCAGTTCACAGTTTAAATAAAAAGCTTTTAACTACAAATTCAACTACAATAACTTATGTTGCAATATTATATATTGCGATCCAATTACACCTTTTGGGTTCATCTTTTTGCCCTCAAAATTATTTTTGGTCTTCACTGAAAATCATGCTTGGATTCAAGCCCATCATTGGTTAAATTGGACCAATCCATAGGCCTGGATATTTATGATATTAGATTCATATTTGAGTGTTGTTTAGAGACGAGTCTCAGAATGATTGGTCATCAGGGATTACTATGTTACCTTATGTAGTGTTTTCTTTACCTCTGTGGATGATTTTTTAAAGAATTAAGAGCAAAATGAATAAACTAACGCCCGTATTCACAAACGATGCTTGCTTAAGTGAAGCAGCAAATCGAACGCACGGCGTTGAATAGAGCTCTGTGATTAATTCGTCATCCTATTTCAAGATTATACTTATTAGTGTTGACCATTATGTTACAGTGCCAGAAGAGTTCCAATACGACCCGGTGAGCAAGTCGTACGGCGACCCGACCCGGCGGCCCGAGATCAAGTCGGCCACGATAGAGTTCATCGCGCCTGGTGAATACATGCTGCGGCCTCCGCAGCCGGCCGTCTATCTGTTTCTGATGGACGTGTCGCAGATAGCGCGGGACTCTGGATACTTGCAGGTGAGACGCCACAGTCTACGATAGAGTTCATTGCGCCCGCGGAATATATTATTATGCTGAGGCCTCCGCAGCCGGCCGTCTATCTGTTCCTGTTGGACGTGTCGCAGATAGCGCGGGACTCTGGATACTTGCAGGTGAGACGCCACAGTCCACGATAGAGTTCATCGCGCCTGGCGAATACATGCTGCGGCCTCCGCAGCCGGCCGTCTATCTGTTCCTGATGGACNCACAATAATATTGGATATCCATAATTGTGATATTGCAGCTAATCTTTTAGCGGCTTTATTTTTTCTGGCAGAAAGAATCCCACTTAATGCCTGGTTAGGCTGCGAGCAGGTATTCATCGCCGAATGTCTTGACTACATGAGCCGTTTTCGAGCGTGCTAGGCTAGCGCCAAATGCAAACTGACGAAGAGTCGAAGTGTCGCCATGGCCAAAATTTTGTAGGAACCAGTATCCTCGTCAATGCGCTAATCCTACTAAAATTCGAAGTGGCCGCCATGACCGAAATATATAGGAAGCAGCATCAATATAAACAACATAACTAGATTGTGAGTTGTAAGGTAATCACACTATATCATATCACACTAATTTATAAAGGCGAAAGTTAAGTTAGTGTGTATGTTTATTACTTCGTCACGTCTAAACGGCTGAAGCGATTTTAATAAAATTTGGTATTGAGTTAGATAAATGCACCCTGGATTGACACATAGGCTACGTTTTACCACGGGTAACATCGCGGGGCACCGCTTGTGAAATGTATGGCAATAATAATCCAACGTTATCGGCTACTGCTGATTTGAGGGTTGGGCTTGATTCGGGGATCGTTACGTAGTAAAATTACGTAGTAAAATAAATGTGTGTTTGTTCCGCAGGTGGTATGCGACACGCTGAAGGCGCAGCTAGAAAACCTCCCCGGGGACGCGCGCACACAGATCGGCTTCGTGTGCTTCGACGCGCACGTGCACTACTACCTCATGAGCGACGGCCTCACGCGCCCCAAGGAGATGACCGTGCTCGACATCGACGGTACGTAGGCAGACACTACCGCAGGTGCTATGCGACACTCTGAAGGCAGACCGGCTTCTGTGTTCGACGCGCACGTGCACTACTACCTCATGAGCGACGGCCTCACGCGCCCCAAGGAGATGACCGTGCTCGACATCGACGGTACGTAGGCAGACACTACCGCAGGTGCTATGCGACACTCTGAAGGCAGACCGGCTTCTGTGTTCGACGCGCACGTGCACTACTACCTCATGAGCGACGGCCTCACGCGCCCCAAGGAGATGACCGTGCTCGACATCGACGGTATGTAGATTGATAAACGCTTTATTGTATACCACACGAAACAAGGAAGAAATAAAAAAAAGAGACTGCACTTAACTAAAGTTCGGTCGCCGTGTAGATAGAATGTCGTCCAATGACCCTAAACTCGTGCGTAATTATATTGCTGTCGCGACTGTGCGACGGGCGGCCGCAGTGAGTGTACGAGCGTGACCGGACTTTATCTTGCAAAATGCTTTTTGGCGTTCTATATCTAAAGAGTGCCGACTGTCTGTATGTTAGCGAACTGTCATATAAGCTCACTTCATAGAAAGGCGAGGCATACGAACTAAAATACGGTGGGGTTCCGTCAGTCGCCTTAAATGGGAGGAACTATAGGAATTCGATTCAAACCTTCAGCTATCATAGTATTTCTAGGCGGGTCTTAAAGGCTGCCACCGAGGAAAGGAGACAGAAAACGATTATACAAATAGTTCAATAAAGTCCATTCTATTATATTGTCGTCTCCTCTGACCCGTCCGTCGTCGTCGATTTGAGGGAGAGCGAGCATTTGGATCTTCCTCGCGCTTTCGCTCCGTGACCTTCTTTTGCGACGTGACGTCTTAGCAAAAAGAGGTCATGGCCGCTCACGCCTCAAACCTGCCTATTAAACTTCGAATTGATTTAGAGACTTGTAATTTACCTAAAAATAGTTTTCGAGTATGTTTATGATCTGTTTCAGACGTATTCCTACCATCCCCGGAATCCCTGTTAGTAAACTTGGGAGAGCGGCGTGAGATGATCAAGGAGTTACTGACCGTTCTACCGCAGCGGTACTCAGCGCCTGGCGTCCCTGCTTCCGCATTGGGGGCAGCGCTGCAAGCCGCTTACAAGCTCATGGTAAATACATACGTTACTTTACGGTTTCAGCAATGGTTATCCACTGCTGGAAAAAGGTCTTCGGGTGTCCGGTCCTACGCTGCCCGCATCCAAGAGCATTCCGTGCATTTCTTTGGTTCTTAAACGCATACAGGGTGTAAAAAATCATCAAGCCAGAAACAGATTCATCATAATCATCATCATCATGTCAGCTACAGGACGTCTGAACATAGACCTCCCTCAATGATTTCCATAATGAGCGACCTGTATCCAGTAGAAACTAAGATTATTAATTAAAAAATTTTTTTAGCTAAAAAAAATTTAAGTTACCTTTTTAAACACACGATACGTAACGCAAACGACTAATGTTTTGTGTGTTAGTGTGTGTATAATGAATAAATTCTTTATTTTTCGATTTTATAGGCACCGACTGGAGGACGGATAACGGTATTCCAAACGTGTTTACCAAACGTTGGGCCCGGCTCGTTACAACCAAGGTAATAATTTAAACTTTCATTTACTATGTATTTTTCTACTGAAATATTTAAAATTATTAAACGAAACCTTATTGCTACATAGTTAAAGTTCAAATTGTGGTTTCCAGAGAGGACCCGAACGCGCGGTCTTCCAAAGATGTGGCGCATCTAAACCCAGCAACAGATTTCTACAAACGACTAGCTTTGGACTGCAGCGGCGCGCAAGTGGCTGTCGACCTATTTCTACTAAACTCGCAGTACTCAGACCTTGCTACGCTTAGTAAGTAGCCTATTTTTTTTTGTTAGAGGATTACTTGATTATTATATTAGCAAAGCTATAGTATTTTGTCATATTGACTTAAGATAGATGGAAGATGAACATAGCGGCGTAGGCTACATAGCAAATATACCTTGTATCTTTAGACTATTTAAAACATTGTTATTTCACAGTTACAATACTTTCAATACAAAAAATCATATAAATTCGTACCATTTTTTCCATATTCATCATCATCATCTCAGCCATAGGACATCTACTGCTGAACATAGGCCTCCCCCAATGCTTTCCATATTGCCCGTTTGCGGCCTGCGTCCAGCGTCTTCCTGCTACCTTTATGATGTCGTCGGTCCACCTTGTGGGTGGACGTCCCACGCTGCGTTTTCCGGCTTTGCTTTTCCATACTAATGTTTCGCATCCAGGCTCTTCCCGCGACCTTCACCAGATCGTCCGTCCACCTAGTAAGAGGCCTGCCCACGCTACGTCTTCCAGCCCGTGGTCGCCACTCGACCACACAAGACTGTTCATTGTGGCAAACCTTGGAGGAGGCCTTTGTCCAGCAGTGGACGTCATTCGGCTGAAACGAACGAACTAATGTTTAATGGAAAATCATAAATAAAAATAATGTCTCAAAATTTAAATGTACGGAAGACAGCTCATTAGACTATGCATTGCATTCCTGTTGCAAAATCGCCTTTATTACAACTACACAAGGTCCCAAATTATAACTGAACCTGTCCACTATACATTATTGTTCAATTCTAGGCGGCATGAGCAAGTTCAGTGCGGGCACGGTGTACCATATCCCACTATTTCGTGCCAGCCGCACGTGGCAGGCCGATCAACTCACGCGAATGTTCGCGCGATACTTGACCAGGAAGATTGGATTCGAGGCTGTCATGAGGGTGCGATGTACGAGGTCAGTATTATTTTATTTTGTTTGGAAAACATAAAGTGAAACAATAAACAGATTACCATGTATATGAATATACCATGACTTAGGGCCCTTTCCCACGGCAATCCACTTTATGCATTTAGTGACAAAAGGACCTCCCACTAAACGACATTTTACTATAGTCTGGTCCGTGAGCACGTAGAATTTTGTCCAATGACCCCAAGCTACCCATCCTTATCGCTCGCGCGTAATTATGTTGCTATCGCGCTCGCACACTCACTGCGGGTGCCAGTCGCACAGTCGCGACAGCAATATAATTACGCGCGAGCGATGAGGATGAGTAGCTAGGGGTCATTGGACAAAATTCTACGTGCTCACGGACCAGGCTTTAGTCCATATTCGGTTAGTCGCATCCAGCTTCTGCCAGCGACATTTCATAAGTGATCACTTCATCTAGCTGGAAAGCCACTTAACTGCGTTACCCTTGCCGTGTTGTAGTCTACTCGGGAACTCTGTTGCCGCATATCTGTTCTTCGACTAAGGCCTGTCCACAAGTCTTTCGAATGTCGATGTAACATCGTCATTTCTTAGCGGCGGTGGCTCAGTGTAGCTGCGAGCCAAACTGACTACTGAGCGATTGTCGAACGCCGAATCTACGCAGCGCTGACGTCGTGTTATTTAGTTTAGAAAGAGTTGGTGTACCGCGTTGATGTTGCGCAGGCGTTTGAGTTAATGTAACTTTACTTTTACCGAATGATATACGGAATCAAAATTAATAAGTTAACGTTCCATAAACATTAATGTTTATATTGCAGAGGCATATCGATCCACACGTTCCACGGCAACTTCTTCGTGCGGTCCACGGACCTGCTATCGCTTCCCAACGTGTCGCCGGACGCGGGCTTTGGCATGCAGCTGGCCGTGGACGAGTCGCTGGCCGACCTGCAGCAGGTCTGCTTCCAGGCGGCGCTGCTCTACACCAGCAGCAAAGGTACTGTGTCTGCTGTAGGGAGCTAGGGACCTGCTATCGCTGCCCGACGTGTCGCTGGAGCGGGCTTCGGCATGCAGCTGGCCGTGGACGAGTCGCTGGCCGACCTGCAGCAGGTCTGCTTCCAGGCGGCGCTGCTCTACACCAGCAGCAAAGGTACTGTGTCTGCTGTAGGGAGCTAGGGACCTGCTATCGCTGCCCGACGTGTCGCTGGAGCGGGCTTCGGCATGCAGCTGGCCGTGGACGAGTCGCTGGCCGACCTGCAGCAGGTCTGCTTCCAGGCGGCGCTGCTCTACACCAGCAGCAAAGGTACTGTGTCTGCTGTAGGGAGCTAGGGACCTGCTATCGCTGCCCGACGTGTCGCTGGAGCGGGCTTCGGCATGCAGCTGGCCGTGGACGAGTCGCTGGCCGACCTGCAGCAGGTCTGCTTCCAGGCGGCGCTGCTCTACACCAGCAGCAAAGGTAATCGATACTTGAATATACTGACACTACTCCATCCCTACTGTGATTGTGACCTGTCAGAATTAACTTAAGCCTTGATCACACGTACCGATTAGTCGAGACAGTAAAATGTTTACTCGGTCGAGACAGTTGGGTGAGCGAGTCACATACTGGAGCGCTCCGCCGAGCACTCGGCGTAATGTTCATACACACCGAGAACTCGGCCGAGAGCACTGTCTCGCCCGTTTCTTCGGTACGTGTGATCAAGGCTTTATAGTCCCACGATTTTGAAACGTCAAAAGGCAAAAATCTAAAACTAACCAGTATAGTCCGAAAGAGGACCGTAAGAAACCCTACGTCATTTAAAACTAAGATAAACTCCATGGCACACGTTCAGAAAATTTGTGCTAAGCTTGGAAAAATAATTATTAAATTCCGGCTTGGCCGAAAGTACAAAAAAAATGGCTATTTCCAGTAAAAATAAAGCGGGTCACTACTTCACGTCCTTAATACCGATGTAATACAAAACCAACAGGTTTGTACGGAACCCTCGGTGCGCGAGTCAGACTCGCACTTGGCCAGTTTTAGACATCTCAAGATACTACATAAGAGCCTTAAAACACCGTTACCGTCAAGTTTCGCGCGAGTAGAGCGTGGCGGTCTTACTGCAATGTTCATCCATATAAATAAGAACGCGCGATTGCTGCGGTCAGTTTATTTATTGACCAGTGATGTTACACACTGCACTCGTTTTTTTGTCGCAAAATAGGTCACATTACAAGAACATAAAATTCCACGTGAAATATCATTCCAATTTGCGCTTTATTTATCTCTAAATAAGTGTTACATTTGCAGGCGAAAGGCGGATACGAGTGCACACGATGGCGCTGCCGATCGCCAGCACGCTACCCGACGTTTTACACGCTGCTGACCAGCAGTGCATCATAGGATTACTGGCTAAAATGGGTGAGTTCGACCTTATAAGTAATTTCAATCGATTTTGCACTTTACGCTTAAGATACAAAGTTCAAAATTCAATGGGATGTTGTACCTTTTATATTTAGCAGTCATAAGTTTCCATTTCGCGTCTCTAGCGGTAGACAGATGCATGTCGAGGCATACGCCGGTGGTCGAATGGTCTGTAAAGATTCGGCCAAACCAACGCGTGCGATGGCGATCAGATGTGTATGAATTTGTAGCGATGAGTTCACATCAACGTTCACATTTGTCTCGGCGATATAAGCACGCGCAGTGATCGCCATTGCCGACACGAGCTGCACGCATTGGTTTGGCCGAAGTTTAACCCCTCATGCCTATATCGATCTGCATGCGTTGGTGTGGTAGAAGCCTCAGAAGTATATCTAAAGCCCGGTCCGTGAGCACGTAGAATTTTGTCCAATGACCCCTAGCTACCCATCCTTATCACTCGCGCGTGATTATATTGCTGTCACGACTGTGCGATTGGCACCCGCAGTGAGTGTGCGAGCGCGATAGCAACATAATTACGCGCGAGCGATAAGGATGGGTAGCTAGGGGCCATTGGACAAAATGCTACCTGCTCACGGACCAGGCTTTAGAAGTCATAAGGTTCATTTTCGTTTCTTTTCCAGCGGTGGACCGATGCGTATTAGCGTCGAGGTCGCTTGTTGAATACTCTGTAACCACTCTTAATTTAATAGTCATAAGATAAAGTTCTTTTTCGTTTGTCTTCCAGCGGTGGACCGCTGCGTATCAGCGTCGATGTCGGAAGCGCGAGAGGCGCTCATCAACGTAGCAGTAGACGTGCTGTCTGCCCATAGACTGGCGCAGAACCTTCCCGTCGGCGCACATTCGGCCGCCTTACACGCGCCCGCTTCGTTGAGACTACTGCCGCTGTATCTATTGGCACTACTTAAGCGGGTGAGTGAGACAGAGCACAGCGGGGATAGAGTGCAAGCGGGACGACACTAGACTGGCGCAGAACTTACACGCGCCTGCTTCGTTGAGACTACTGCCGCTGTATCTACTGGCGCTGCTCAAGCGGGTGAGTGAGTGAGACAGAGCACAGCGGGGATAGAGTGCGAGCAGGATGACACTAGCCTTGCTGGAGGCTCCCCGCCGGCGCGCGGCTGTATCTATTGGCACTGCTCAAACGGGTGAGTGAGCGCATTCTGCCGCCTTACACGCGCCTGCTTCGTTGAGACTGTGGGTGAGTGAGCGAGACGGGGCATAGTAGGACTGGAGTGCGAGCGGGACGACACTAGATTGACACAGAACCTTCCCGTCGGCGCTCATTCGGCTGCCTTACACGCGCCCGCTTCGTTGAGACTACTGCCGCTGTATCTACTGGCGCTGCTCAAGCGGGTGAGTGAGACAGAGTTATAGGGTGCGAGCGGGACGACACTTGCCTCGTCGGAACCTTCCCGTCGGTGCTCATTCCGCCGCCTTGCACGCGCCCGCTTCGTTGAGACTGCTGCCGTTGTATCTACTGGCGCTGCTCAAGCGGGTGAGTGAGACAGAGTTATAGGGTGCAAGCGGGACGACATGAGCCTTGCCGGGACCTCATTCTGCCGCTTTACACGCGCCAGCTTCGCTGAGACTACTGTATCTACTGGCGCTGCTCAAGCGGGTGAGTGAGTGAGACAGAGCACAGCGGGGATAGAGTGCGAGCAGGATGACACTAGCCTCGCCGGCGCCTGCTTCACTGCTACTACTGCCGATGCATCTATTGGCACTACTTAAGCGGGTGAGTGAGAGAGACGGGGCATAGTAGGACTGGAGTACGAGCGGGACGACACTAATCTCGCCTGAACGGTGCTACAGTGTGAGCGGGATGACTCTAGACTGGCGCAGAACCTTCCCGTCGGCGCGCATCGGACTGCCTTGCACGCACCTGCTTCATTGCTACTACTGTCGATGCATCTATTGGCACTACTTAAGCGGGTATAGTAGGACTGGAGTGCGAGCTGTATCTACTGGCTCTGCTCAAGCGGGTGAGTGAGCGAGACGGGACATAGTAGGTCTGGAGTGCGAGCGGGACGACACTAGCCTCGTCGGAGCCTTCCCGTCGGCGCGCACTCGGCCGCCATACACGCGCCTGCTTCGTTGAGACTGTTCCCGTTGTATCTACTGGCGCTGCTCAAGCGGGTGAGTGAGCGAGACGGGGTATAGCAGGGCTGGAGTGCGAGCGGGACGACACTAGACTGGCGCAGAACCTTTCCGTCTGCGCACACTCGGCTGCCTTACACGCGCCTGCTTCGTTGAGACTACTGCCGCTGTATCTACTGGCGCTGCTCAAGCGGGTAAGTGAGTGAGACAGAGCACAGCGGCGATAGAGTGCGAGCAGGATGACACCCTTGCTGGAGGCTCCCCGCCGGCGCGCGGCTGTATCTATTGGCACTGCTCAAACGGGTGAGTGAGCGAGACGGGGTATAGCAGGGCTGGAGTGCGAGCAAGACAACATTAGTCTAGTCTAGTCAACATTAGTCTAGTCGAGCAAGACTACTGCCGCTGTATCCATTGGTGCTGCTCAAGCGGGTGAGTGAGCGAGACGGGACATAACGGAGCTTCAGTGCGAGCGGGATGACACTAGCCTCGTCGGTACCTGCCGGCCGGCGTGCATTCCCCCGCACTACGCGGGGTTAGAGTGCGAGTGGGATGACAACTAAACACGCCCACTGTGGAACAAAGACATCATATTATTACTTTGGGATAGGAAGGAAAGGAAATGCATTGCAATACAATACGTCTCATCTGAACCACTTTCCGCTCTCCATTGGAGGGAAGTTGAAGCTTAACTTCGAACTCCAATGTTCTTCTGATTAATTTCGATGCAGTTTCAACAGTTTAACTTTCCCCCCGGACTAATTTAACCTTCACTGGTTGGGGTTTTTAACGGTCAAGCTGTAGATCCTGGATACACAATCATATAAGCGCTTTGGAACCTGTATTTTGTTAGCTTTTAAGATGTTTGAATTATAAATAAACAAATACACAGGAGTTGCAGCAGGTGGGAATAAATTCAAACTTAAATTCAAATTGTGAATAGTTGAATAGTTCCGTTATCTGAATCACAATTTTCATGTTCCAGAGAGCCTTCCGCACCGGCACATCGACACGGCTAGACGATCGAGTAGCTGACATGTGCGACATGAAGACGCTACCGCTATCCAGCCTACTGCGCGCGGTGTATCCCGACTTGTATCCAATACACGAGTTATTGTCGCACGCGCCCGAAGCGCACGAAGACGCCGCGCCCGACCCGCCGCGTCTGCAACTGTCGGCTGAGAGGTGAGCACGATACAGCTGGACGATATACAGGGTGTTAGGTAAATGGGTATATGAGCCGACACTAGCCCATGTTAACATGGTTATATAAATGGTATGGTGAAGTCAGAAAATTGATATCTTCATTTTAATTATTATAATTTTCATACAAATCGGATTTTATAAAATTTATTTTGTATGAAAATTAAAAAAAATAAAATTATGATATCAAATTTCTGACTTCACCATACCATTTATATGCCCATGTTAACATGGGCTAGTGTCGGCTCATATACCCATTTACCTAACACCCTGTATAGGTGGACGCTACATAGGTGGACGGTTTACAAGTGGACGGTTCACAGCTGGACGGTTCATAGGTGGACGGTTCACAGGTGGACTGTTCACAAGTGAACGGTTTATAGCTGGACATAGCTGGACGGTTCACAAGTGGACGGTTCACAGTTGGACGCTACATAGTTGGACGCTACACAGCTGAACGCTACATTACTTGGGCGCTAAATAGTTGAAAGCTATAGTTGGGTGCTACACAGGCGTACGGTATAGAGCCGAACGCTACATAGTTGCACGCTACATAGCTGGATACGGACAAAGGTGTACGGTTAACAGGCGCACTCTACACAGCTGTACGGTTAACAGGTGCACGATAAAGACGCTACACAGGTGCACGGTATGGACGCTACACAGCAGGACGGCCCTGGACGCTACAAAGTTGAACGTTACATAACCGCAGGCTACACAGCCGTATTCTATTTAGCCGCACGTTAAACAGCCACACATTACACAGTTTCACGCTACACAGCTGGACGCTAGATATCCGCTTGGTATTCAGCCGAACGCTACACATGGTCCTATTATACTATGGAATCTCACGACTAAGATAGTTAAAATTACCTTTATTGTACTCTTTAAGCTTATTTAAGCATATAACTACACTTCAATTAAACTTACCAAAATTCATTCCTCAGGATAAATATAAACGGCGCGTACCTTCTCGACGACGGCGAGACGATGATCATCTACGTGTGCCACGGCGTCAGCCCCGCCTTCCTGTCCGACACATTCGGCGTGGCCGCCTTCAGCCAGCTGCCCGACGAGGCGCGGTCCCTGCCGCCAGTCGACAGCGACGGCGCCGCCGCCCTGCACTCGCTCATCGACAAGCTGAACGACGACCGTCCCTACCCGGCCAACATACTGCTCGTCAAGTGAGTACCCACAGCACGCTCGGGCACTGTCGGGCACTGTTGGGCATAGTCGGGCACTGTCGGGCACGCACGGGCACTGTCGGGCACGCTCGGGCACTGTCGGGCACCTTCGGCCAGCTGCCCGACAGCGACGGCGCCGCCGCCCTGCACTCGCTCATCGACAAGCTGAACGACGACCGGCCCTACCCGGCCAACATACTGCTCGTCAAGTGAGTACCCACAGCACGCTCGGCCACGCTCGGGCACTGTCGGGCACTGTCGGGCATTGTCGGGCACTGTCGGGCACTGTCGGGCACGCACGGCACTGTCGGGCACGCTCGGGCACTGTCGGGCACCTTCGGCCAGCTGCCCGACAGCGACGGCGCCGCCGCCCTGCACTCGCTCATCGACAAGCTGAACGACGACCGTCCGTACCCGGCCAACATACTGCTCGTCAAGTGAGTATTCAGCACGCTCGGCAACCATCGGGCACTGTCGGGCACCTTCGGCCGCCTGCAGCCAGCTGCCCGACGAGGCGCGAACGTAATGAGGGCTATCGTTTTTATACTCAACAGTTGGCACCCCTGGCGATTGACAGGACCTTACTCTACAGTGGCGCCATCTTGATGAGTGCAAATGCGATAGTCCTCCTACCACTTTCGCGCTCACCAGTTGGCGCCACTGTCTTCGCTACTAGCAAGTGACAGGACCTTACTCTACAGTGGCGCCAACTGGTGAGCGCTAAAACGATAGCCCTCATTACAATTGCTTTATCAAGTCAGTCTTTCGTTCTTCTTCGGATACCTTCGGCCCTTCAGCCAACTACCCGACATGGTGGTCATCTACTTTCGGACACATTGGAATTGAATAGTTAATTAGTTTAAAGGCAAACATAAAAGGAACATTTAACTAGTACTATAACACCACATCACTAATAAAGTTTTTAAATATCAAGAGAGGGCGCTGCAGTTATTCTGCATCACGGTAATGTATGTTTTTCCCCATTCAATAAATGATCCTGCATAACTTCATAAAAGTATTAAGAGATGGCGTTGTATGTACCTTGCATCGCGATAGCACTTACTATTCCCGGTTTTCATGAGATTTCGTGGCACTGTAAAGTTTTTAATACAAAATATTTTATCCGCAGGGACAATTCGCCGTCGCGGCAAGTGTTCACGGACCGGCTAGTGGACGACCGGGTGGAGTCCGCATTCTCCTACTACGAGTTCTTGCAGCACGTCAAAAGCCAAGTGAAATGAGAGATGCTTTCGCCGCGGGGACCCTACGCGGAGACAGAGTTGGGACGCATCCCACGCATCGTAGTCCGGCTTGAGTTAGAGTACCGCGAGAGCAAATGGCAAGCGGTCGACATTCGCACAGACACTGAATAAATTATTCACACGTGTAAATAAATTGACTATTCCAAGAACCGTTCGGTGTGATGTTATTCATTTCTCAGTGTTATTCGATGTCAAGTTGTTTATATCTCAGCGTTAGAACGAAACCAAATTTTAAAGTGCTGTTAAGACTTTTTAACATATTCTCTTATGACTGACGACTCCTGCATTGTTCTCGTAATTTCACTAAGTTTAGGCTATGTTATTTGGAAACATGTTTTTATCGATATTCTCGTCTGTTTTTTGTTCATAGACAATTTTTTTTTTGCCTAAATATGTATTTTGTCTAGTTATCTGAAAGTGGCTTTAACTTACTAGTACGTACAAAAGTGAAGCCTCGGCTGTCATACTGAAATGCAAGTGACGAAGTCTATAGTTTCTAAATATTACTGCAAATGCAATATTGTAGCAATATTCTGCAAAAATATTTTTTAGTCCAGTTTCCCCTCAATATGGCGGTCGTCGCCCATAGACTAGTACAAGTAATTAGCGGATTGTTAAATGCTTATTTTCGATTGAAGTTTTATATTATAGAACGTCAATGTCACATCTGTGGATTATGCCTATCTTACCATGATAGCTAGAGAAGGTAATATCAATCACCTGGCATTGGCCTATGATCGCGCCGGCGATGGCGTTCTGCACGCGTTGGTGTGTTTGAAGCTTTAGTATTACGAGGTTATTGACCTTGAAGCGAGACCGAAATTCATCATAATTGTGCCTGAAGGGTTAAGCTACTGATGTTTGTAGTTTTGAATCTCTCTCTCGCACATTCCGAAATGCTATCATGTGTGACACAGACAGAGCCGAGAATACGAATGTTGCCGTTATCAGTCTACTATTATTACTAGTCCGCTATATTTAGACTTTTTTAGTAACGTGCCAGTTTCCAAATTACGGCAGCAATAAAGTCACGAGGCTACATTGAAATTTATAGTACATAATGTGATAAAAATTAATTTTTATACGTGAATGTTCCCCAAGAAGCAGCTTGTCGGCCTTTAAGAGATTTGCCAGTTTCTGTTTTAGAGTATAATAATGTTTTTCCACAATTTATCCACATGATAGTACCTAGAGGTACAGAACAATTCCCTGCCATTGAAATAGTGATTAAATTGTTAGACTATTTACTATATTTTTAGCATAATTACAGACCAGTGTTATTCGAGTTAGTTAACTGACAGTCGAACCATCGACAACATTGTCAGAAATTATGCGTACACTCAATGTGAAAACCGTTAATTGCCCAGTCTCTCAAAGGACCAAAATATAATTTCTTGACGGACATTTATCTCGAATCTAGGTATCGGTGTGTTATTTTTGGTTTTCGTTCGAAACTTGCTTAAGTTGTAAACGGCGCTCGTGGATAAGATGCTTTCTATATTTTTCGTCCCGTTGTCTTATTGTTAACTCGATACGACACGACACAAGCAAAAAAACGGTTAAGGACACACACTAGGTCCGCCAACAACATGTCATAAGTGGACGACTTGTGTCGGCGGGTCAGTGGGTTAGTTCTTGATGTTTTCTGAACATTGTTCCACGACTTACAATAATTCACAAAAAAAAACGATACATCTAACTTATTTTGTAAATTGTTAGTAGAACGCTGTTCGGAAGAATGACTGAAAACTATAACCGATGTTCTTTGAAAAGCATGTTAGCATCTTGTCTGAAGGTCCAGAACTTGCATTGTGTCATTTAGGTTCAATATTGTGAATATGTTGGCATCAGCTGTTGGCGTGTGACGTCACTTATACTTTGTATCACATTTTAGACATTATATTGTTTAGAATTAGAGTTCAGTGTTCGATGCACAGGCGAACGGTTAGGTGAATGAAATGATGAATGCTATATTACATAATCCACTTTGTAACGGAATCTTATAGATAAAATATGGTGTTAATTACAACCTATGTTATTTTTCGTTTTTGTCGGAGTGAACCAAAAACATTTAGATGTTGTAATAAACAAATACGGCTTTTGTGATCGATATTTTTATGGTTTATTCATAGCATGAGAAGCGACTACGGATATAGTATAATTATTTATGTGATAGGCTAAGGTTAGCGTAGGATTATTAAATGTTGGTTGTTTGGGACGTTATGAACATGAATTATGTTGTAATCGAACACTGGACAATATTAATCTTGTTTATTGTAAATTAATTATAATAGGTCGCGGTAGGTCGCGGTTTATTGTTGCATGTATGGACGATTGGATGCGCAATAAAAAAATGGTTGACATAGACTGTCGAATCAAATTCCTTTTGTATATTTACATTCGTTTAAAATTAGATATTTATAAATGCACTGGTTCAGCTATTTCTTTATTTCGCATTCGTGCAAATGTTCTGTGTATATTGTATATGTACTATTGGTATAATTCGTTATGGATTTCGTGTATAAAATATATTATATAATTTTTTTGTATCCTTCAATAGCGTAGCGTGTAGTACACTACATAAATATGTGTTTCGTAAGGTGTTTCTATAAGATCTTTAGGGACTACATATTTTTGAGTTGACTGTACCTTGAATGCCTAAAGCGTCCATTGCGCATACCTTTACTCTTTTTTCGTACAATATCGTTTATAATTTTGTTGTAACCCTGTGCTTAGTCGTGTCTATGATTTTATTTTTTTAAACCATGTATTTTAACTTCGATATATTAAAAAGTTTGTAAATTAAAAAAATATTATTTATGAAATTGTAGGTAGAATGTTTTACACTGAAACGAGCTGCGTTCTTTGTTACATGAAGAGTCGAGTCTTGGCTAGTGTATAAAATATAATAAAATCATGTTGGATAAGCCGACTGTTGTTTTGAACCTTCCTCCGATTGATTTGTGGTGTACAATCGTGCAACCACAGGCCATGCTGTTTGAATCCATGCACAAGTTAAGACTCGTGTGTAGATTTCCACAGTGGTGGTATAAATACTTATAGTGACAAATGTGGGCACAAATGTGGGCTGTTGTATGTGCGCTCACCAGTTGGCGTCACTGTCAAATAATATTCTGTCACTTGCTGGGGTATAGTTCCATTATACTGAAATGTCCTATTCATGACATTGACAGCGGGGCGCCACCGTCAATACCGGATTGCTGGTTCCGATTTTTGCCATGTTGGAAACCATATAATTGGACGATGGTAGCGCCCCCCTGTCATTGAGTTTGGTGGGACAGTTCAGCGTGGGTATAGTTCCAAAATACTGAACTGTTCTATGCATGACATTGACAGTGGGGCGCCACCGTCAATACCGGATCGCTAGTTCCGATTTTTGCCATGTTGGAAACCATATAGTTGGACGATGGTAGCGCCCCCCTGTCATTGAGTTTGGCGGGACAGTTCAGCGTGGGTCATCTATATCAGCATCTATAGTGATGACAGTGACGCCAACGTGTAAGCTCTAAATGAGAGATATCGTAAAAAAGGTGGTTGAACAAGCTATGATTATTCCAATACTTGGCAAACTGATCTTATCCTCACTGGAAACAGTTAAATAATTAAAGCGAGAATAGTTCGTAGGCCGTAGAAGCGATTTGCAGCGACTTTTCAAAAAAACATTTCATAATATCTTTTTAAAAACAAAATTATGAGACGAAGTGACTATAAAATTATTGCCATTAGCAACAAGAGAGGACTTTCCAATGCATTTTCTGCCTTTAAAAAGTTCGAGTTTATTTTCAGAAAATAAAGCCAAGGATTCACTAAACTTCAAATTATAAGAGAATCCGATTTATCCGATGGTGAGTCCATCAGATTCTCTTATAATTTTTCCTCTTTTTATTAGATTTCAGAAAAATAATTTTTGTACACATTCGAAAATGTATGTGCTGAAATACATAAATTATGTTATTCAAATAAATAACGAAAAAGTGAAAAAGCTGGTGCCTTAGAAGTGAGAAAACAAACTACTTAGTAATAATTATGACCCTTAATATGTAACGATCCCAAAATCTTAGATGAAACATATTATGGTTCAGTATGAACCGAATTTTGGGCGTCGTTCCATAATGCGGGTCTGAGTGAACTCCGTAATCCCATAGTTTCGTTCCATAATCCCATAGAACCTTGTAACTCGTTTCAATATAATAAATTTAAAATCATAATATAGGTGTACCAGAATCTCATGGCAAACAAAAATATTGGAAAAGTGTGTTTTTCATATGGCAATTGTCTATGGTTTAACTGTCACCTGTCAAAGAAAATTATGAAATCTGTCAGCCGCTGCAAAATTTTTGTAATCTCTTCTTGACTATTTGTTATTTTTCTGAAAAAGTCGAAAAAGTTCAAGCAAAGCATATTGTTTTCAATGTGAATTGTAAAATAAGGCATAATTCAAAGTAAATCTTTGATTCTAAAGCGCGTCGTCGAGTTGACAGTAAGTTGGACTGAAATGTTTTGATACATTTAGTTTATTACCCAACTGCGTCAGAAGGAGGGTTGGGTTTTTTTATATTATTCTTACTTAATAGCTGCTTTATCGGGGTTTTCAGGTATATCTCACAAATTGGTGCAGATGTTATGACCATGTAAAGAAAATTGAAAAAGATTTCATCAAAGCAAGATTGAATAATGAAGAAGTTTCCAATTTTTTTCTTTTAAATAAACTTGAAATAAATATAAGTAAAACTAATAATAATTGTAAAATAATCATGAAAATATCTCTACAAATAAATAAGTTACAGGGCCCTAAAGTTGCGCATAACTATTCACGCCATTTTGATCGGTGTATTCACGACAGTCATTCGGAGTACAAACAGTAAATCACCCCTGATCCAGCCAGTGCTGTTGACAGGTTATTTTTTTTAAATCTAGCAGTTTTTAATTTTTCAGCTAGGGTCACTCAAGATTCTTTCTTAGTAAAATTTTGTAACCTTTTTTTAAAATATCCCAGACCTGGCCATATACAAAAAGAACGGCACCGCCTATGTTTCAGTTCCACGCGAAAATATGTAGGTAATATAAATAATTTATTTCTCAGACATTTCTTGATCGATTTAAATAAAAACTTCACCGTCTTTTTAGTTTTGGTATATATTTTAATCCCATTCAGAGAAATATAGTGTTTTAACATCAGGAACTTCTCCATTGAAATGCTGGAAGAGCAATTTATTTACAGTACCTCTTTATCTTGATCATCTGTTTATTGAAAAACAAGAAATGCAAGTGGAGTTTTAAGAATCCTTTTCTAGTTCTGAATGAAGTGATAAGTTAGAAGTATGATGCATAATAAAATTAGTTACTTAAAGTAATATACGATTTATTCAATTTCCAAAACATTTACCTATGTTAAAAATCTGATGTCTAACAACATTCTTCATACACATACCTACCTAAAATGTATATTCGTACTTCATGTTCATTAATATTAAAGTAATAAAAGTAAAAAATTAAATAGTATCAAGATCGTTTATTCCAATTTCCCCAGTATTGCTATCAACAAAGTTTATTTTCCCTATTTGCCATGAGATTCTGGTACCCCTATAATAACGGTGTTTTAATTTCGTATCGATCAGATTACACGTCAATTAAACACATTAATAGCTAAAAACATTAACCATAGCGATATTATCAGAGTAAATACAAATAAAAGCTTGTAATGAGTAGGTCATGTATAGCCTGACCAGGAACATAAAAACCCTGGCATAGAGGCGCGTCAATTGCATTTGATAGTGCAACACTCAGTACAGTCGTACCTGTGTTAAATTAATAGGCTAACTTTATGTATCAGGATTCAGGATTACGGGCTAATTTGATATTTTCATATATTAACGAAAAAATATTATTATAGGTAACCTGGTTTAAATAAATTAAATGAAACCATCAATCGAGTTAGTATGATTTATTTTATTATTCATCAATAATCAAATTCAGAACTTGAATATTCAACTGCAATGTCTGCTCATGAACGCTTCAAACTCGGTACTTCTTTCCCAATTCCATAAAATTCAACACTTAGAAAGTGACAAAAAAATAAAAACACTCAAAAACTTGCAATCTGTCGCGTTGTCCAGCAAACAGGTAGGTGCTCAGCATTCACAAGGCAGGTGAACGCCTCTTCCCTCTGTGGTGAACGCGGCGTGGTGTGTCAACCCGGAACACGGAGCACGGAGCGAGCAACCCGGAACAAATTGTCTGTCAACTTCTAGGTGTGAGCTCGGGCACGGGGTGATGCGGTTCCAAAATGAAGTTGGAACTCGTTACTCGACCCTTGGTCGGGAGTTCAGGTCTGAGGTGTAAAAGTAGTCCTTGTCCGTTGCAGCAATTAAGCAGTACAGTTGTAGACAAATTGGACGAAAATCGGGGTCACCAATAAAGGGTACGTGGCTTAATATGGAAACTCACGTAGTCACTTTTGAATAAAATAATATATTGTAAAATCTCCTATTTTACTACCTGACGTTCTCCCTGACATCAACAACCTGGTTACCATCGCAACCGCCGTAGCCTATACCCGGCGCAAAGAGTTTTGCTTACCGCTACAGGTGTGTTTCTATGAAGATGACCTAGTGAGCATTTTTTTAAATTTTCAGTTTCAGGCTAGGATAATATTTTGTAATATTTAAAAAAAAATCACCAAATAAATAATAAATCGGTCTAATCCGTGATTTCGTAACTTAAAAAAAAATTGTTGCCAGTCATGTCAATTTTTGGCAGACTTATTTTTGTGTTTTTGTTGATCTGAAGTCTAAACAATATTATTGTATGTTCTGAAAATATTATATGTACTATTGTACATTATATCTAAGAATACAACAGTATTAAAATTACAGTATATTCATTTCAAGATCTTCGCTCAACCTGAGCAGTGTTTTTTTTAGAATTTTTATTGATTTTATAGCATTTTTATTGTACAAGGATGTCTTTTCAATATGTGACTATTTATTATGGACCTTGCGATTCCTTCCACACTGTTGCTCACAAACCACAGAAGTTACGGGGATTGAGAGGTACCTCTCTGTTTTTACAAGCTTTTTAGGGTTCCGTAGCCAAATGGCAAAAAACGGAACCCTTATACACTCAACATCAAATAAACCGCACCTTCCGCGACGCAAACTTTAAAGATTTTCTTCTGACACAATCATGGTACCCCAACAATATTGGTGTTATTTGAAAGCCCAATAAATATCCTTAAAGAAAAATACATTTCATTTCTAAATAAATGATTAACATTTACAATAAATGTGACTTGAAAATAGACCTCACTTTGGGCTCACCTCTGGGATCAATTAGACCAATTTTTATGGTTATAAAACCAAATAAAGATCTCACGTGTCCTCTTTAACAGATGGATAGCGATTAATCCCAACTTAACAGTTTTATAGTCATAAAAAATGGCTATAGCGTAACTACCTACCCATTTTTTGAAGAAGTGACTCTGGATCCTTGTAAAGACACATTTTTGGGGTAAAAACCTTTCCTTTAATGAAATGAAGTTTAAAACTAGGCTTTCAAATGGTACCTATGTTGGTGGGAAGTGGGGATGCATACGTTTGATAAGTGCTTGTCGCGGGAGGTGCGATTTATTTGATGCCGAGTGTAGTTCAATATCCCTCCCTACCTAATATTTAATTGTGAGAAGCGGTCAGCGGGTGGACAATGCTTTAGTGGCGTTTATCATTGGTAGCGATTTATGTCCAGCTATTCGAGAAGGAGGAATATTCTATCTATACGAGGTTTATTCTTTTCGATGCTGATCAAAAATGACTCGTACCCAGCTATGTAATTAGGTAGGTATTCTTTTGCAGACCGTCTCCAGACTCTTGGATATAGAGTCGACCTCGTGCAAGTTCTTTTCGTTAATTATTGCATGCTGGAGATATGCGGACACGAGGTCAGTTTTTATATCATTTGTTCTAGTTCGTTTTATGTAGGTACCTGTAGAGTTATGTGTTCTTCCATTAGAATAAGATAACATCATTTTAATGTTATTGGGGTTTCATAATATTGATAACCGACTTGGAATTTGGATTGTATCAGTCCGAAATTTCAGGTGTTTCGCTGCAACATCCAGAACTTACTATTTAATATGCCTTACGAATCGGACCCCGTGTGCCAGCGAGCGGTCAAGGCGGTTCAACAGGCGACTGTCATGCTAAATCGCGCTCGTAACCACTTGTGGATATGGAAACTCATTGAGGAACAGATCTTTGTGCGAAGTGCGTACGCACCCAAGGACTTCTGGACAACAGAAACAACGCAGTTAACGCCGTTTTCGACGTGCCTGGACTGCGTGAAATGTTGCGGTATACTTGCGCAAAAAAAGTAAAACAATAAATCAGAAACAAGTGGTTAGCGGAAAACTAAATAACTATCAGCAAATAAATAAAGTTGTTGTAAGGCGTATAAAATATAGCCTGAAATAGTTTGCTGATCAAACATTTTACTTCGTGGACTACACAATAGGACAAACCAATTTAAGTTCTTTTTACAGCAGCCGTATTCGGCTTATTCTAAATAAAATTGTGTTATTACTTGCGATCTTTTATTGAGTGCTGTTTTAATAATTATGTGATTAATTCATCATTTAAGCATAATCTTTGCGAGGCCCAAGATTGATCCTTTTCTTTTGGAGAAAGACTTGGTTCTAATTAACCATCAAGTTAGGATACGTATGAATTCTACCCAGTTAGTGCGAGTCAGAATCACGGATTAAACTTTTCGTGCTTTTGAATTATCGTCTCCCTAACTCTGGCAGGACCAAGTGTCCCTTTCTCCTGTAGGTATCCTTTTTACAAGCTTTATATTGACTTCGCTTGTTAGTTATTTAAGTAGGTAGTTTTCAGATGAATTGTTTGCTGTTTCATGACTCATTTTCCCCACCATGGACCTATAAAAAAAGGCGGACGGAACTCGCGCTACAACAAAACTGTGACGCAAAATTTTGGCGTTTGTCTATTGTGTGAGTGAATTTAGGGATGCCATGTTAGCCAAAACATTTTACCCATTTATTTTAAGAAAAACATAGATCGGCAGATGTTACTTGGAAATGTAGACAGAATTATTCCGTGCCATTTTAAAAGGATGAAAGGTGTATGCGTTGAGGTAGGCGCGAAATTTTCAATGTTCAAATTTTCTTACATTGTTTGCATCGCTGCTGACGTGCCATTTTGTTATACATTTTGACACATTTTCTGTTGCGAATGTTATATCTATTACTTCCTGTCTGGTTTTTGTTACGAATGTTGGCGTGTGGCCATTGTTCAGCACCTGTAGACAGTTAGATAGAAGAAAATCGGATAGTAACTCACCTCTCATGTTGGTATCCGAGCTTCCCCAGATGGTATGGTGGGCGTTAGCATCGCATCCCACTATCAGTTCCGACTTTTGTCTTCTAGAGTATTCCAGGACGTTAGTCAGTTCTTCAGTGGGATCTTGCTTATCTCCAGGAAGATATGCCGAGCAGAAGAGTACTTTGGACCTGTTCGGCCCTTTGACTTCTACGTACGCGGTGACAGTATCTTCGCTGCAAAGTTCTGGAACAGGTAAGAAGTTAGTATTTTTGTTAAACACGATACAAGCCCTAGGTTTGCGGCCTTTTTCGCATACAAGAATCTTACCAGCGTTGTTCAGACCGGCTACCATGGAGTCGGCGTTTATCCATGGTTCTTGAATGAGGGCGATGTCCAGGCCACCTTCGCTGAAGATCTTTTCTATGACCGCAGAGGCTGCGATAGCGTGGTGTAGGTTGGCCTGTAGTATCGCCATCCCCTTTGGGCGTTGAGGTTGGTGGGGACTATTGTGCTTGGGAGCCGCGGCGCCCTTGTGTGCCCCGCCGCCCTCGATACGGTCCTCTGTGCTGCCCCCTTCCTCTGGGCTGATGTGCGCCCCTTGTGGTCCCCCTGTTGGGGGGAAACCGCGTTCCCCTTCCCCTGTTTGGGAATGTGGAAGTGGAGGTTGAGGGGGTGGAAGGAGGGTTGGACCCGTTGTGGTCCTGTGCGGACCTGCACGGTACCCTCAGGGGGGGTGGTTAAGGATGCGGGTACGGGGGTAGAGGTGGTGGTGGTTGCGGCGGTGGTCGGGGGTTCAGCGGAGGGTTTGGAGTCCTGTATGGGGCCCTTAATTCTGAACTGGACCTTTTTGAAGCCAATGTTGGCCTTTAGGTCCATCATCTTCAGGGCCTCAAACGAGTGGTCGTCTAGGGATATATCTGGCCAATAACTATGTATTAGCTTTACCTACTATAGCGATCACCCTATTAATAATTTGTTATTGCACAAATTACTAATACTCCCGTTAGCCCCTCGTACTAAGCTTGTGTCACGAGTGGGCTCACAACAAAAGTCGAGCGGTGGGGACCGTACCCGCGTTCCCCGAATCACGAGTCGGCCAGTCCGACCCCTTCAACGTTCGGCTATCGTGGCTTCAAATTGACCTTACCAGGCATCGAATTCTAGGCTCCTTAAATGGTCATGCTGTTCTTTCGTCCATTGTGACAAAATATGACAGAAATTGGCACAGATAAGCACTCTTAGCCTTAGCTTGAAAGCACTCGCGCTTTAAAACGAGAAACTGAAAGAAAATAAGACTTTTATGAAGAATTACGGCGACATTTTTCTTGAGAAGAATAGACACGTTCGCAGTGAAGAAGTTAGACTAATAAAAGCATTCAAGTTGATGGTGCTAAAATGAAAATGCTACTGGAAAGGTTAGTTAAATAATTAAACCTTAAGTGTAGTGTTCAGGGAACTCGACAAATCACCGTTTCAGTGAAAATACGTAGTAAAAGCTTGCCCTGATTTTCAGCACTTACTAAATACCTACTAAGTGTTTTCTCAACACTAAAAGTAAGGTAAAAAGAAGCCTGTGAGCAAGCATCGTTTGTGAATACGGGCGTTAAGGTTTCTTAAACTTTTTTGGTCATTCTCACAATAATATCACGGCAAAATAATATTTAAATGAGTTTACAATCATAATCGTGCAGATAACACTTTACTGACGCTCTTTAGATATGACAATAAACTTTGCTATTCATAAACCCATCCCAAATGTACGGGCAAGGCGACCTAATTTGACAAGATGCATCTCAGATTGCACAAAGAGATGCTTAATATTCTCAAGAGCTCTGCGTGTCCTCAAACTTTGGAAGTAGGCATCTTGTAAACCTAGGGAGTGAGTATTAGCATTCTTGCCAATTTATAAATACGGGGCCTAGAACTAAATTAAATAAGAAACAATTTAGTTCTGAGTAACAAGTTTTGGTTATATGAATATTTAAGTATGTACAGCATTTTAAATAAATGTTTTCCCTTCCCTTTTACTTATTTTTAAGTCATCTAATTTGTCTCAAACAGAAAATCCCCTAAATTTTGCGATCTCTTTTGTATATTTCCTTGATTTTTTTTGTAGTAAAAACAAAATGTTTTTGTCTATAGATCTATCTTTCTACCTTTTTTCTCGTGCTTTTTGCAACGCATAAAACCTTGTCTGTACAAATCGCTATTATTATTTTACCTCATTATAATTTTATCTCTCATAACAGTTGTCATTAATATGTAAAGTACGGCCAACTAGCAGCGATACAAAAGGTCGATACGACTGTCGAGTTGACAATATATTCTGTCTCTTCCCATCTTGTGTATTTGTCGTAATGTCTCGTTCTCCCGCCAAAATATGTCAGTCAGACGGGTTCACCCATGACATTGGGTTTGTTTACATTTGGTATCGCTTCTCGTTGGCCCTACTTTAGGCGCTCCGTGAAGTGATTTCTGAATTAAAACTGTCACAGATGCTACTTTATCTAGATACTTCCCCAGTCTTCTCCTAACAGACTTCGGAAACGGACGCACTCGTTACGTCAGTCCCCAGGATCTCTGTAACACAAAAGACGTCCAGCTTCATACCAGAGTAAATACAAATGAGTAGGTTATCTTCACTATAGGCCTTATACAGAAGCTCAAAGTTGCACAGCGTGCTATGGAGAGGGCTATGCTCGGTGTTTCATTACGAGATCGAATCAGAAATGAGGAGATCCGTAAACGAACTAAAGTCGCTGACATAGCCCGACGGATCAGCAAGCTGAAGTGGCAGTAGGCAGGGCACATAGTACGCAGAACTGACGGCCAATGGGGCAGCAAGGTTCTGGAATGGAGGCCACGTAACGGAAAACGCAGCGTGGGACGTCCACCCACAAGGTGGACCGACGACCTGATAAAGGTAGCAGGAAGGCGCTGGATGCAGGCCGCTACCAACTGTGCGATGTGGAAGTCATTGGGGGAGGCTTATGTTCAGCAGTGGACGTCCTGTGGCTGAAATGATGATGATGAGGTTATCTTCATAGAAACGCACCGGGCGCGGTTTGTATGTGAGCGTGACAATAGCGTGGATTAGCGGGGAGCCAGTCGTGGTTGCGCCGAATTTTGTCAGTGTGTGCGTGCGCGCCGCATACGTATATTGGCGCGCTCACATACAAACCGCACTCGGTGCGTTTCTATGAAGATAACCTACTCTTTTGTACTTACTCTGTTCATACCGAAACGCTCCTCCATACTTTATTTTCTATTTACCCAAAGGTCCTCGTCTAGCTGCGGAAAGCGCTTTGGCAAAGCGCTTTGCCATTTCAGGACGCTGAAAGGAAGCGCTTAAAGTGTCATTGTGATTTATTATTCTGGTAAAGTTAGGTGCTAGTTTAAATTTGCTCTTTTGTCACCTCTTTCTTGGGGCAGGGTATTTTCATTTATTACTAAGAGAAGGTTGTCAAAATAAGTAAAATTTCGTTTTGTTCAGGTAATTGCAAACAGTTTTGCGGTTTTAAAGTATGCAGGGTGTAAAAAAGTTAGCAACCGGCAACGCACCTGTAACGCCCCTGGGTCTGCGGGTGTCTATGGGCGACGGTAATCACTTACCATCAGGTGATCCGCCTGCTCGTTTGCCTCCTATCACATAAAAAAAAAGCATATTTTTTTAAAGGTGACAAAGAATCGATCAGAAAAATTAGTTAAATAAAATATCCCAGACATTGAAGTATTTGTTGTCTGATATTATATTCTATTAATAAAGTTTACCATACTTTATACATCTACCAAAAACAGATAAACTATTGTTCCCTTCTGTCCGGTAGTACGATCGCGCAGTTTCGATCCCTTTGAGTAAACTTTAGAGTGGAACTAAATAAAACGCTAGAAGTATTTAAGAACCTAATCTACTGTTAAAGTACAAGTTGGTAGCGGACGACATGAAGCAGCAGCGGACGACGTGTAGTTGTACATAGCTTCGTGTATAAACTACGGAGGGAATTTCATAGAAATACATAGAAACCGGTCCGCCTCCAGGATCGGTACTCGAAACCTATCCAGTTGCAGCGAGGGGTAAGACAGGGAGACGTCTTATCTCCAAAACTGTTTACCACCGCCCTGGAAGATGTCTTCAAGCTTCTGGACTGGAACGGATTTGGCATAAATATCAACGGCGAGTACATCACCCACCTTCGATTCGCGGACGATATCGTAGTCATGGCTGAGACCTTGGAGGATCTAGGCACAATGCTCGATGGCCTCAGTAGAGCCTCTCAACAAGTGGGCCTCAGAATGAACATGGACAAGACAAAAATCATGTCTAATGTCCGTGTTGCACCCACTCCTCTGAAGGTTGGAGACTCTACACTCGAAGTTGTTGACAATTATGTATACCTGGGACAAACAGTCCAGTTAGGTAGGTCCAACTTCGAGAAAGAGGTCAATCGTCGAATCCAACTCGGATGGGCAGCGTTCGGGAAGCTTCGCCATATTATACTCACGTCCGAAATACCGCAGTGTCTCAAGTCGAAAGTATTCGACCCAATGTGTGTTGCCAGTGATGGTATACGGTTCTGAGACGTGGTCGCTTACTATGGGCCTCATAAGAAGGCTCAAGGTCACCCAAAGGGCGATGGAGCGGGCTATGCTCGGAGTTTCCCTGCGTGATCGAATCAGAAATGAGGAGATCCGCAGGAGAACCAAAGTAACCGACATCGTTCGTTCGTTTCAGCCGAAAGACGTCCACTGCTGGACAAAGGCCTCCCCCAAGGATTCTCCATGGGGGGGTTTGCCTTAATCGCCACGCTTGGCAGGCGGGTTGGCGATCGCAGTTTTTTGTAAGGTTTCGCACGCAGACGCTGCTGCCCGTCCAGTGCTGCAGGGATTTTGTCGCCTCTTACGACACGCCTCCTGTTGGCGGTGGGGAAGAGTATTCTTTATGGCCGTCCCCACACGGCACGGTCCCCAACCGACATAGCTCGCAGAATTGCTAAAATCACGAGAGTGGCGACCACGGGCTGGAAGACGTAGCGTGGGCAGGCCTCCTACTAGGTGGACCGACGATCTGGTAAAGGTCGCGGGAAGATCCTGGATGCGTGCAGCGCAGGACCGTTCATCTCACGCATTTATAAACCAACGGAGTTCAAAATCATACAATTACATTTATTAAAAAAAAGTAATTATCAATTCTCTACTACATAAGTTTAACCCAATAAATTCCCTGACGCTCAATTGTCATTTCGCATAACTCAACAATAATCCAAACATCAACTACTACGAAACCTAATTATCGGCTAGTGTTGAACATCGTTCTAAATATCACAGTTAATTACCACCACAATACATCAGTTGACTGTCGTGTGTTCCCAATTAGATTTGCACTCGTTGTGATTTGGATTCAATCTAAATTGACTTACCAATTTTGAGCTATGCATTTGACAGGTCATTATAACGAGGAATTTAGTTCCAGAATGGTTTTTGTTTGCCATCATCATCCTTTATACAGGACTTTTGTTTTGCTTTCACCATCATTATTGTTTCAGTCAAAGGACGTCCATTGCTGAACATAGGCCTCTCCTGTTTTCCAGATTGGCCGGTTGATAGCAGCCAGATGCCACTTTAATCCTTGTCACGTTAACACGTTGAATGTCAGCGTATCTGTCACGCCAAGTA